TAGACCACTCAGGTATGACCTAAATCATATCCCTGATGAATATAAAGTAGAGGTGACAAATAGATTTAAGGAATTAGTTCTGATAGACAGAGTGCCTGAAGAACTATGGACAGAGGTTCGCAACATTGTACAAGAGGTAGCAACTAAAGCCATCCCAAAGAAAAAAAAATGCAAGAAAGCAAAATGGCTGTCTGAGGAAGCTTTACAAATAGCTGACAAAAGGAGAGAAGTGAAAGGCAAGGGAGAAAGAGAAAGAAACACCCAATTGAATGCAGAATTCCAGAGAATAGCTAGAAGAGATAAGAATGCCTTCTTAAATGAACAGTGCAAAGAAATAGAAGAAAACAATAGAATAGGGGGCACCAGAGATTTCTTTAAGAAAATTGGAGATATAAAGGGAACGTTTCATGCAAAGATGGGCATGATAAAGGACCAAAATGGCAGGGACCTAACAGAGGCAGAAGAGATTAAGAAGAGGTGGCAAGATTACACTGAAGAACTATACAAGAAAGAGCTTAATATCCCTGATAACCACGATGGGGTGATCACTGACCTCGAGCCAGACATCCTGAATGTGAAGTCAAATGGGCCTTAGGAAGTCTGAGCAACAACAAAGCTAGTGGAGGTGACAGTATTCCAGCTGAGCTATTCAAAATCCTAAAAGACGAAGCAGTTAAAGTGCTACACTCAATATGCCAGCAAATTTGGAAAACTCAACAGTGGCTGCAGGATTGGAAAAGGTCAGTTTACATTCCATTCTCAAAGAAGGGCAATGCCAAGGAATGTTCAAACTACTGCACCATTGCACTCATTTCACATGCTAGCAAAGTGATGCTCAAAATCCTACAAGCTAGGCTCCAGCAGTATGTGGACTGCGAACTACCAGAAGTACAGGCAGGATTTCGAAGAGGGAGAGGAACTAGAGATGAAATTGCCAACATGCATTGGATCATGGATAAAGCTAGGGAGTTCCAGAAAAACATCTACTTCTGCTTCATTGACTATGCTAAAGCCTTTGATTGTGTGGATCACAACAAATTGTGGCAAGTTCTTAAAGAGATGGGAGTACCAGATCATCTTATTTGTCTCTTGAGAAACCTATATGCGGGTCAAGAAGCAACAGTGAGAACTGGACACAGAACCACTGATTGGTTCAGAATTGAGAAAGGAGTTTGGCAAGGCTGTACACTGTCTCCCTGCCTATTTAACTTATATGCAGAGCACATCATGAGAAAGGCAGGCCTAGATGAATCACCAGTTGGAATTAAGATTGCTGGGAGAAATATCAACAACCTCAGATATGCAGATGATACCACTCTCATGGCAGAAAGTGAAGAGGAACTAAAGAGCCTCTTGATGCGGGTGAAGGAGGAGAGCGCAAAAGTTGGCTTGAAACTCAACATTAAGAAAACTAAGACCATGGCATCCGGTCCTCTCACTTCCTGGCAAATAGATGGGGAAGAAATGGAGGTAGTGACAGATTTTATTTCCTGGGCTCCAAGATCACCACAGATGGGGACTGCAGCCAAGAAATTAAAAGATGCTTGCTCCTGGGGAGGAAAGCTATGGCAAATCTAGACAGCATACTAAAAAGCAGAGCCATCACTCTGCCAACAAAAGTGCGTATAGTCAAGGCTATGGTTTTCCCAGTTGCAATGTATGGCTGCGAAAGCTGGACCATAAAGAAGGCTGAGCGCCGAAGGATTGAGGCCTTTGAATTGTGGTGCTGGAGGGGACTCCTCCGAGTCCCTTGGACCGCAAGGCGATCAAACCGGTCAGTCCTAGAGGAGATCAACCCTGACTTCTCTTTAGAAGGCCAGATACTGAAGATGAAACTCAAATACTTTGGCCAACTAATGAGAAGGAAGGACTCCCTGGAGAAGAGTCTAATGCTGGGAACAATAGATAGCAAAAGAAGAAGGGGACGGCAGAGGATGAGGTGGCTAGATGGAGTCTCTGAAGCAGTCGGTGTGAGCTTAAGTGGACTCCAGGGGATTATGGAGGACAGGAAGCCTGGAGGAATGTTGTCCGTGGGGTCGTGATGGGTCAGACACAACTTCACAACTAACAACAAGTGTGGGAATTATCACAGAGATATTAGCACAGAAAATGAGAACATGAGGAAGATGGGGTTTGGTCCAGCCTTGTCTGGAGGGTTATGTTTGTATGGAGAAACAGTGAACGCCTACATTTTGGTCCCTGCTCCTGATCTCCTCCTGTCCCTACATTTTCTCTTCAGGATTCCCTTCTAAAATTTTGTTCATGTTACTTGCAACAGTAGTTCTTCAGGGTTAAGTTACTTGCATAGCTTAATGTTTTGTAGCGGAGGGTCATCTTTGCTCTCTTACCCGTGAATCCATGCCAAAGCACAAGATGTCTTTTCTCACTCTGCAGTTTAGGAAGTTGGGGGTTTTTTTATCCATCAAGCATTTATTATTGCTGCTTATTTATCCATCAAACTTTTGTTATTGCTGCTTATTTCTCTAGGTTTTGCCTAGTGAGAATGAGGTCTAAGAAAGCTCTACCTTAACTATCGAATCGGTTTTCAAAAATCGCTTTGCTCTGTCACCACGTAGGTGCCACTGCTTCTCTCCTCCACGAGTCCCTGAGGAGCAGCTCTGTTCAGTGAACCGCTGTGCTCCATCAGCATCATCAAACAGTTCACACAACTTTGGCCCCAGAATATCTCCTGCTCCTTCTTCAGCAGAATTCTATCACTACAAAATGACTATAAAACTAAAGGAAGAGGCATGAATTGAGGACTGTCATTTTTATTATCCAGACATAATACTCTTATACAGTGCCTGTGCCACACTTCTCCACAACCCATCTGGTGTTGTGTGTTATGTTGTTTTCTTTGATTGACATGTGATTATTCGGGATTGTTACCTTTTAGGGGCCTTCCTGCTCATTCTGCTGAGAGGGATCCTGGACTTCTGCCCTAAATGTACCCCTTGAGTTGTACCCCATTACATATGTACCCCATTAATGTACCCCATTACTTATTGAGTATGTAATGTAAGTTTTGGAAGCTGGCCGTCTCTATCCCGCCTGGTCCAAACTAAGAACAAGCTAGGCAGTTTGTCAATTATGTCCATGCTGAAGTTTTCCAGAAGGTTCCAGAGCACATCTAGCACCAGGCTTAGCTGTAGCAGAGACCTGAGAAAACAGAACCAAGAACGGCACATACAGGAAGGCTTCATAATAATCCAAGATGGCAGACATGGACTTAAGGTTCAGCACAGCGGCAGATGGAATGGCACCTCACGCCCAGTTCTTTCCGTTGCTGGACATGCCTCACCTCAGATTCAAGGCCCCTGAAACTGTGTTATCACTCAGGGAACTTGATGTGTGTTTTGGTGGAGCTTATGCAAGGCCCTGGGAAGTGGGCAGCTGCTGGGACCTTGGGTGAGCTGATAAGACCCGAAGGGATGTATAAAATTGGGAGATTCCTTTGCAAAGTCCTGTTCCACTTTAGAACACCACCAGCAGACACCATGAAACTCCTCTTGATCTTCGTCTTCCTGGGAGCAGCAGGTGAGGTTTTCTAAAAATACATTTGATTCTCTTACCTTTCGACATTGGTATTGGACGCTTAGGCATCGAGCACCTTGCACAGCTAAACAACTGTACTCTATCAGGTCCTAGGCTAACTTTGGTTTGTAAACCATTTTTGTTTTTTCTCACCCAAACTTGGTGCACAATCTTTCAATCTACTTATTTGTGCTTATGCCACTAAGTACGGATTACAAGATCAAGTACCACACCATGTTTGTTTTCCTTAAGGAAAGTGAACAATCCACCCAGAAAAAAAACTAATTGGATTTTGTGCAATTATTTTGGCTTTCCTTTCAATTCCTTAGATGATCTGAGCAGGATCATCACCTCACCATCCTTTGAATTTTGCTTTAGACAAGATGGTCTGACAAGAATGGTGTGCGCAGGCACACATCAACCCCATTTGCACGTGACAGTGGCCAATTGTGATTTCCTTAATTTCCCTACAGCTTTCTGGGTCACGTACCACACCAGACGTACTTCCACCTGTTGTTGAGGGTGTAACTTGAGTGGCTCGGGGGGAGATACAACTCTCTCACCCCCAACACACCCCACCACCACCTCCCTCAAGACCATTTGTTGAAACTATTTACTTTTTTACCCCACAAAACAGCTGTAGCAGCAACAGCAACACAAGGTCTATCCTGCAAGAGCTTTTCCAAACAAAGAAGCTGATCTTTTGGCAACCAAACCCGGCATGTAGGCTGGCTTTTATAACCACTGAGGTGCTACACCAGTTTTCCCAGAGGCACTGTTGGGGGGCAGGGCCAGGATGTGGGTGGCCGGGGACAAGACTAGAGTGACTGAGGCAGCAGGACCAGGGCAGGAGAACTTCAGGCAAGATGGACTCCAAAAGCCAGGTTTAACGGTAGGTCCACATCTAAACCCATGTCTGGGCTGTATCACTTCAGACTAAACACAATGACTCACATGTTAGAGTATCGCTGTGTGCAAGAACACTCTAGCGCACAGAAAACTGGAACAGTAGGAAGAAGGCTAGAGGCCTAAAACCCCTTCATCTGGACCACTCAGTTTCTTTGCTATTGTTTAACTGGAGCTTTCAGTCATGTGATCAATTAATCCCAACAGCCGACAGCACAATGTTGCCCAGCCCTCCATTTTTTACCACCTTGCTGGAAGGCGGCCTTCAAGGCATTCTTCCCAACTTCCGTCTTGGCATGTTCCATAACAAACTGATGGAGACACTCCTCTCGGAAGCATGGGCAGAGCAAACAGCCATTGCCCTTCCCAAAAGCTCCAACACAGTTCAAAAACATAAAAATATGATTTAAATGGTTTTGATAGCTAAGGAAACATAATTGAAATGTGAATTTAAAGACGAAGATTTTTAAAAGATATCTACAAATATGCAGACTGACATCAAGGCCATGTCCAATTGTCAATAAGAAAGTGTACCTGATTTTTGGGGTATGCAAGCCATTATGCCATTCTGACTCCTTTTGATTTGTCTGCTCTTGGCAGTTGCTGCCCCTGTGGATGATGATGACAAGATTGTTGGAGGATATGACTGCCTGAGATACTCCGTCCCCTACCAGGTATCACTGAATTCTGGGTACCACTTCTGTGGCGGATCCCTCATCAGTGATCAATGGGTGGTGTCAGCTGCCCATTGCTACAAATCGTGAGTGGATGGAGCTTCTTTCTCTGTGACTATTTTGCACGGTAACCAGTAGGAGAAGCCAACCAAGATGGTACATTTTCTATAGTGTTGGACTATGAATAGCCCTGGGTTAGCAGGTGTTGCAGCATGATGAGGACTAAAGAAGGTTTTTTCTTTGGCTCATGCTTGAATAGGAATGTATCTGATTTGCCCTTTCTGGCTTCAATCCAACTTGAAATGAAGTTGAATCCTGAAAGCTGCACATCCGGAATATACTTGAAAATGTTACAGGAAATTACTCCATACAATAAATTTGGAGATGGAGACAGGAAATCTCCAAATTTGCTATCTGTGAAAAGGCACAGCTTTTGCCAGAGCCTTGATGGGGCTCCGGGAGCCGGGGTTGCCTCCAGATGCAGATCTGGAGGGCTCAGTTTAGCTCTGGGTCTCTCAGATCAATGGCCCCAAGCATTGCAAGTGGGACATGCAGTCTCCGTTGTCAAAGGCCAGTCTCCAATTTGTCTGGTGTGCCACTGGGGCCAGGCACTACTTAGGGTCATGGTAATCTGTGATAGGAACTTGCATGGTTGCAAATTTCCCATTCAAAGAAAAATACCACCCCTTGCTAATTGTGCTGTTGGTGGTTTGATCAGTCCTGTGACAGAAGCAGTAAGGCTTGCTTACCTTGAGATGATACGTTCACTCGAAATTGCATTGCATGGTTGATTTGCAGTCGCATGCAGCTGGTTATCGGAGAGTACAACCTTGCTGTGCTGGAAGGGGATGAGCAGTTCATAAATTCTGCAAAGGTCATTCGCCATGAAGGCTATTCCTCTTGGACCTTGGATAATGACATTATGCTCATCAAGCTGGCAAAACCTGTTACTCCAGCCAAAAATGCTGTACCCATCAATTTGCCTAGACATTGTGTGGCTCCTAGGACCATGTGTCTGATCTCAGGCTGGGGCAACACCCTCAGCGATGGAGGTGAGTCTGGGCAAGTTCTGGACAACCCATCAGCTTATGGCTGCAACCTGCAACCCTCAGGCCTGCAACTGGAGATTGTTCCTGTGCTGACATTCAGCAAGATTTGGTAGCCTCTCTATTGGTGTGCCAAGGATTGCCGTCAAGCACACGTCAGCTGCCAGATGCTGACCATTATTTGGGGCTGTGAAAGCCCCAGTCCAGTCTGTGGCTGCTGTGAAAGAGGCAAATTTCATGATGGGGATTTTTCAGACAATGACACCGAGAAGAAATTTGCCCTTATTGCTAGATCCTTACAAAAATTTGTGGCACCACCACACTTGGAATATCATGGACTGTTCTGATCAAAGCATTTCAAACAGGATGGTGTAGATTTGAAAATGTACAGAAATTGGCAACCAAAATGGTCACAAGGCCAGAGCAATGGGTAACACCAGGACTTTGGGGGGCCATGTTTGCCCTGTCTATGCCCACAGATTGAGGGACACTCACAGAATACCCTGGGGCACTGGCAGCAGGAGAAATAGTGCAGATTGGCTGCAATGAACAACTTTCAAAGTTGTTTTGAGGAAGCAGGAAATTGGGTGGGACCGTGGGGTGTCGGGGGGCAGAGGCTGTCCTGGGGCAGGAGGGGCTGCAATGTGGTCCTGGGATTAGGCCCTCACCTCAGAGGACAGGCTACTATCATGGGCCTCCTTAGCTGAGAAAATAGTGGACGCAGGGAACATGGTAAGACGGAGACAACTAATGCAAAGCATGGAGCAAAGGAAGATGGGAAAAGGCCCTTCTCCCTCCCTCATCATAGTTGACAGCAAGGTCGGCTAAGGCAGATGGCAGTAAGTACTTCTTTGTGTAGCGCATCAAGAAACGATGGGATTTGCTGCCGCAAGATGCAGGGATGGCCCCCGGCAGGGATGACCCTGAGGGGGATTCCATTAAGTGAGGAATCCCAGGCTCCCAGCAATGGGGAGGATTCTGGAATTCCCCCGGATCCCAGCTGCAGGAGAATGCGAGCCAGGGCTGCAGTTGCTCCTGCGCCGCTTGCAAGCTTCCCGTGGGATTGTGCTGGCCCTGTGGGAAGGGAACGGTGCACCAGGTGGGCTTTGGTCTGCTCCAGCAGGACTCTGCTTGGGGGATTATGTTCTTCCCTGTGAAGAGGTGCTCCATGTGCAGGTAGGAGACCCCCGAGCTCGGCTCTGCCAGAAAGAGCGCCTTCTGCACAGAGATCCCTTCCCCGGGAACTGCTGTGTGCGGAGTCTTTCTCAGGGTGGCAGACATGCTCAGGGCCACTTCCAGGGACAATGAGATCCTGGGATTGAGCCCTGGAGAACCTTGCTACTAATTAAGTTGTTTCACCAAGCATAAAAGGGCTGCTTTTGGAGGGCTTTCGTGGCACTCGGCGTGCACTTGGCCACATGTACATCTTTCTGTTTCTTATGCCAGTCCAGACATGGCGTCTGGCGCATACTTTGTCAAATGAGTTACCCACACAGCCGGATAGCTCTTGCTTCCCCCAAACTACTGCATTAATGCAGGCCTCTGGAATTTCTTCATTATATTCCTTTCCATTTTGTCCTTCTAGTAAACTACCCTGACATTCTGCAGTGCCTGGATGCCCCAGTCCTGACTGATGCTGAATGTGAAAATGCTTACCCAGGGCAAATCACTAGCAGTATGATGTGCGTTGGGTACTTAGAGGGAGGCAAAGACTCCTGTCAGGTAAGAGCATTTGCCATTTGAGAAGCGTTTCATTGTGTATGTTGGCTAAGATACCATACAGCCGGGCTGATCAACCCAGCATCAGAGGGCAAGGCAACGTGAGATTCCTGCTGTGGTGGAGATCTGGAATGGAGCAGCAGAAGCACAAAGCATTCAAGGCCCCCCTCCTCTTTGGGGAAGGCTTTCCTGCATCCCCAGAGTCAATACAAGCCTAGCTGGGGAGAACTATCCTGGGCTCTGGGGGAATCCGGGTCCGAGGAAACAGTGGGTCTCCTTGGCACATAACTAACTCCACATGCACTCTGGGCACTCTGAGGCCACGTTTTAAAATGTAAGCCTAATCTGAGTATCCATATGTCTTTGGAGAGAAACATTCCAGCTGCATCTGCTCCAGTAAAACCTTTCACACCACCAATTCAGCTCTAATGAGCTGTAGGACCAACCTTGCCATTTTTTGTTCAGGAATAAAGGTTGATGAAAACCTGAAATTTCACAAGAAAGTAGCTTGCCACTAAACTGGACCTTTGTGATGGGGTTTTGTAGAAGTGTGCAAAAATGAATAAATTTCACAAGCTGCACCCCTGTTTTTAGCAAATATATTTATCTGTAAATTCTCTCATGAAAAAGCCTAGCTTTACCTATTGCAAGATCAGTTTAAAAGCACCTGACCTTTCCACTGTGCATACAAAAGGGCATACCTTGTAAAAATGCATACCAAGTGTGTGTGTGTCTGTGTACTTGTTGAAAAGTAGTTGCAAATGCATGCATGACCGAAAGCATGGATCTCAGGCAGGGTCCTCTGCCATGTGGTAGTCCCCCTGCGCGTCCCATTTATAGGTGCCGTGCATCTCGGCCTGCAGTCCCCAAGAGTGCATCTGAGCTCTTTGATCCCGGCCGCACCTCGCAGCATTCCTGTGGGTGGCAGCTGCTGTTACCACACTTCTTGTCTCCCCGATGCTTCCCGGGGGAGGGTTAGGCAACAGTAAACAAGTGGCGCAAAGGGGCTGGCAGGAATTGAAGAAGTAGCCAAAGCCGGCAACCTGGGGTGTGCCGGAAAGGCCTGCTGTCTTTCACCCACCGTCCTTTCTGTCCCACAGGGCGATTCTGGTGGCCCAGTCGTGTGCAACGGGGAGCTCCAGGGAGTCGTTTCGTGGGGAATTGGGTGTGCCCTGCCTGGGTACCCTGGCGTGTACACCAAAGTCTGCAACTATGTCAAGTGGATCGCTGACACCATTGCTGCTAACTAAAGCAGCCATTTCAGCAATGGGCAGCACTTAATTCTCGTGTAATTCAACTTGCAGGAGACCCTGGATGAAATAAATGGATTCATGTTACCAAACTGTTCTGGTCATTGGTGTTTTTATTGCAGGAGCACTCCAGCTGTGTAGACCGAAGGGCGCCAAATGGCAGGCATACATTGCAGTGGAAGTCTACCTGAAAAGATTTTACAGAATAGGAAGAGATAGTTTCTAACCCATTTCCAACCACACTCTATCTTCTGACAGACTCCTGACCAAAGCCCAAAAAAAAAAATAGGAATGTCCCATGGATGAACCAAACCTGGCCACAGTGGAGTGCAAATCTAGATTCTGAAGTGCATTATTTTCTCCCAGCAGTGTTGGAAGCCCTTGTGCCCGCAGGCCTGTTGTGCCTGACCAGGTCTGATTTTGTGTCGTAATGCCATTTTACTGCTTGGAGCTGGGGAAATGTCACATCTGTCTTCCCTGCATGCCACGAGCAGGAATGGGCAGTCCTTTCTGTTTGTTTGTCCACTTGTCGATCCATTCCCCTTGGTGTTTACATTGGGATAAGGACTCAGAATACACAAGCAGCAGCCTGCAAAGCTACAGCTGCAGTTTTCCTCTTCAAGAAGCTTCAGGAGACGTGTTTCTGAAAAGCAAGCCAGTGGGCAGGATGTGCTGAGGAGCCCTCTCCAATTCCCCTCTGCCCCCCCCCCCATTCTTTTCTAGGCATCTCTCTGAGCTGCCCACGCAGCCTGCACAGCTTGCGCAATCCCAATTTAATGCTTCGGGGGACACTGAACATAAAACATAAGACACCCCCCCACCACCACCACCAAATTGCCTTCTTCACATGTGCATGCATTTTATCAAATCAGAACTTACTTTTTATCCATCACTGCCCCCTCTCCCACATACACTCAAACGCACAGGATTTTAGCTATTATTTAGGGCTGGGAAAAACCCCATCGGAATCCATCCCTCCAAGCATTTGTGGGCTTCACCTTGTGCTCAGCCCGGTTTTCCAAATTTAGCCCAGCTGAGAGGAGGTCCATGAATGCACACCGACCTGGCTTGGAATCCAGCAACCTTCTGCCTCAGCAGCAGTTGCGATGGAAGAGGGGTTAGTTTCTGCAGCGGTCACAAGGGCGCGCTTGCCTGGCAAAACCCTTCTGGCCAGCCTTCTTAGGTACTATTCTTAGGCAATATTCATAGGTATCCCTTCCTGCACTGCTTGTGCAGCATTGGAGACTCAGTTCCTGGTGAGCAGCCCACACACGCTGGGACTCTGTCTCTGGGCGGCTGCAAGGTGGACTGGAGTCTGGGGAGCCAGCCTGGGGATTCCCACCCCAGATGGATTCCGTACTCAACCCCTGTGCTACAGAATGTGGGCTTGGGTTACTCAAGGGGGGGCTCCCTCAAAAGTGGAGGTGGGCAACACCTGCTCCGTGGGCCACAAGCTTCCCCTCGGTGGGACCCCACTGTGCAGGCTCAGCAGACGTAAGCCACAGGAGGATGATCCTTGCCCTGGGATGTGGTGGGATCCATGCTGGGTAGTGGAAACAGTCAACCATCCACGCCGGGGGTGCAAGAAGGAGGGGCTGGCACGTTGTCACCACATCTTGGGTCAGAGGGTAGGCAGCTTAGCAGAGGAAGAGAAGAACTGGCTTAATCTCTTCAGGAAAGGGGGGGGCAGGTCATGTGACTGTACTGCCATTCCAAGTGCAGTGGGAGGAGCAAAGAGACAGTAAGATCTGTCCAAGGAGAGAGGGCCCCTCCGGGTCCCTATGACATTAACCCTTCCCTTCCCACTCGGTTTAGCAGACAGAGCCCTGCAGTGCTAATGTGGGCACGGGTGCACTCACAAGGGTACATATGCCTCACAACTCTGTACTGGCTCACAGACTTCTAAGGTCAGGATAGGGGATCTATATGCAGTGCTGCTCTCCAAATTGTTCTTCCTCTTTCCTCCTGACCATCTCTCACGGCCTACCATGAGTCAAGCCAATTTCCATTGGCCCTGTTCGAGGCAAACATTCTGTTTTTGGACCTGCATGGGCAACCTCCTACCTCCAACTGTCTTTCCTGCAGGGAATCCCTGCCACCCTGCTAGCCTGCTGCCACCTCCCTTTTCGACACGCCTGGCCTGCCCCGAAATGCTCCCACAAACTGTTCTCACCCACCAGTGTCCCATGCATGCATTCATGGCACTGGTGTTCTTGCAAAGAAAGCTGCCTCCCCAAACCATCTGGATTTGGCTCTGAGGACAGCGCGCCTGCACTTCCCCACATCACTCGAGCTGACATGCACCATGAATGCTGACTCCGTGCCCGCACCAGTTCCTCAGCTATCCAGAAGACATAAGATGTCTGCTGTGCTGGTCACCAGCCGGGCTGTCCAGGTCTGCGATATTCCCATGTTTGCTTTTTCTAAGTGCTTCTAACACATCTGAACGGTTGTTACCAAATAATTAACAATTCTGTTGTTCATACACTAGTGTTGTTGCAGCAGAGTCTAATGCGATTTTTCATTGGTGGATGTGGCATATAAACACAAGCAGGTGTAAATGTTTTATTTCCATACACCCGTACTATAAAAATGCAACATGTTCAGGGTTCGCTGCTTATTTTCTTTTTTTAAAATGAAGTGTCAAACATATGGCTACTGCTCTTGATTTAGACATTTCCTGAGGCACTAGCATTTCATTATGGAATTCCTCAAATGCCCAACCTTTCCCAGTCAATGCCACTCCCCTAAAAATGCTTGGAAAATATGGGACAGGACACACAACCTAGTGATGAGTCAAGAGTGCACACAGAATACCTCGTGCAGAAAGCAGTAAAGGCACAATTCATGCACACATGTGTGCACGCACACACACACTATAGCTCTGTGGCTTGCAAAGGGAAAAACAGGAAATTGGAGGAGGGGGAGAGCAAACCATTCCTTGAAATATCTCTGCTAAACAAATGCATTCCATTGTGATTCCTTTCAATAATATGACACTTTTAAATATTGGCAAACTAGCCTTCCTTGTGTTTGAAATTGACAATGTTATGTTAGGGTGCAGTCTAATGCCCAGCAGTCAGTTATAGCCCAGTAGGTAGCAATTACTTCTTTGCAGTCACTTCTAGTTCTTTTGCCAGCTTGGGAAGGCCGTTTTAATCTGTGAATTGATTATTATTACTGCTTATTTAGTTGCTGATTTTGGCATCTTGACAACAAGGCTAAAGAAATCTCTCCCTTGCCTATGGAATCCTGCTTCAGAAAAGGAGCTGGTAGCTGCTCCAGGGGCCATTGCTGCAGCAGCAATGCTCGCACCTAACAGTTTGTCAACCGTGTCACTCCATATTGAGGGGTTCCAGAAGGTTCCAGCGTGTGACTAGCACCAGGCTTAGCTGTAGGAGAGATAACAGAACAGAGAATGGCAGATGGAGGGAGGCTTGATAATAATCCAAGATGGCAGAACAGGGACTTAAGGTTGAGCTCAGCACAGCAGCAGATGGAATGGCACCTCACGCTCTGTTCTTTCTGTTGCTGGACATGCCTCACCTCAGATTCAAGGCCCCTGGAATTGTGTTATCACTCTGGGAACATGATTTGTGCTTTGCTAGAGCTTATTCAAGGCCCTGGGAAGTGGACAACTGGTAGGAGCCGATAAGCTCCAGGGGGATGTATATATTGGGAGAAATTTCTTGCAAATTCCCGTTCCAGTTTAGAACACCACCAGCAGACCATGAAACTAATCTTGATCTTTGCCTTCCTGGGAGCAGCAGGTGAGGTCTTCTAAAAACGTGCTTGATTCTTTTAACAGGGAGTCCTAATATCCAGTATACAGATCCCACAGAATGATGGGAAAATGGCGTGGTTGGGTCCTGAGGTAACAGAATTGCCATTTCAGGCTGCAGATGGGGGAGCAACATTTTCGCAGTGCTTCCCTCATTTAAAACATTGTGCAGTGAGAAAATCAGCACAGCACAGTCTGAATGGAACTGACACCTCTCTCCTATGTCAAAGGAATCTAGTACCTTATTTAGCTAACCCCATTTTTCCCTCTTAGACCCAGGATTAGTTTAGTTTGCAATCCCTCTTTTTCGTTTCCAAACCCTTGCTTACAATCTTGCAACCTGCTCCTATGGGCTTAGCTTCAACACACGCACATTCTACCTCAGGAAAGCTGACTAGGATTCAATTCCGCTTCAAAAATTTGATGTAGGCATAATTTTGATGATACCTCTCCCCCAGTCTCTGTTTCCTTCACTGCTTTTATATTTCTATCTATTTATTTGGCATGATATCTCTATTCATTTAAGTACGTTTGCCATTTGTTCGGGGGATGGGATGGAATGGACTTGAGGGTAAACGCATCTAAAAATGACATGGAGCAGAAAGAGACGGATTCAGCCACCCATAAGAACTAAGAAGCAGCAGTATAGGCCCTCCTGTGGCATGCTTCTGCTTAGTTTGGCTCCCCTTGGACTGTGGGCAACTACTGACTTCAGGCCTTGTCATATTATTGCTGAGAAATCACACTTGCAGTATCCAAGCTATTTTGCAGTTCTTACTCACCCTGATTTCCCTGCTGTCATCAGCCGCTGCCTCTGGAGATGACGACGATAAGATTGTGGGAGGCTATGACTGCAGGAAGAACTCTGTCCCCTACCAGGTATCTCTGAATAATGGGCACCACTTCTGTGGCGGGTCCCTCATCCATGACCGATGGGTGGTGTCAGCAGCTCATTGCTACAAATCGTGAGTGGATGCTAATTTTTCCTCCATTGTGACAGTGTTTGTCCAGTACCCGGTAGATGAGGTCCTCCAAAGTCTCACATTTTTCAACAGAGCTGAATTTCAGAAATAGCATGAACAAGTAGATACCTCCAGGTTACAATGAGATGCAGCATACTCAAGGGTTAGAGATAGGAATACTCAGGACCAGAGAAGTGCACACAAAAGCAGTATATGCTAAGGGACAAATATGAACACCTGAAAAAGTACACACAAAAATATGCATACCAGGCGAATGATACACAAAAAAGAGGTATGCACATTCCTACTGAATGTTTTAAGCAAAATTTGCTAATTGACATGCAAATGGATGGAACTAACTGGATATAAGTAAATGCCATAGTTTTGCCCAATCCCTGTTAAGGACATCCTCCTTTTCACCATGGAGCTAAGCTACCCACATTGCCCCAGTTCATTCTCTTCACCCCACAGACCACAAAAGTTTCATAACTTGGGGCTGGCAACAGAGGAGAATTTTCCCCTGAGATTCTAATGGGGCCTTTTCCTCACATGGTTGAGCCATGTTTGATCAGAACCTCCAACTTCTGGTGAGGTTCTACCCAAACTGATCAGGCAGTTTCTTTTTATTTAATAAATCCAAACTCTACTGACACGTGATTAAAATAATGATTTCTTAGAGAGCACATTAATTGCTGAAAACCTTCCTAAGGGGAAAAGTCTAATGTTGCAGTCCTTGAAGGACTTACTTGGCATTATTCCATTCAATAAACACGAACAGGATTGGAACATAGTCCTTCAGCACTATTTAATACTCCTCTTAATTACTTTGTACAGTTTCTTATACCTTATTTTCTTTCAAGATGCATGAGCAATGTTGACAGGTAACTGCATTTATTAAAATTAATCTTTTGGCCTGATAGTAATATGATTATCTGTGAAAAAATTGGCCAAGCAAATTTCGAGATGCAATTATATTAAAACAATATCATTTGCATACAGGAAAGCCTTGCATGCTTGTGACCTTGCATACCTGTTTGTCTTTCTGAAATCAAGAAAGTTGTATATGCCCATAGCAGCCCATCATGGAATATACATACATACATACATACATATATATATATATATATATATATATATTTCCTAAATAGATAAATAAATTCAGTTCTGTGGATAAGAATATAAAGATGGAGCCATAAGGTATCTGTTCCTTGTACCTCTAAACAAAATTGATCAGGCAAGTATTCATTAGGTGATATTCTGCTAGCTCCTTACACATTGTACAGATGCATCACTTACTCCCAAATTACTCAAAAATACAGTATTGCAGCAATGACAACAGACCTGTTTGATGTCCTCTGCTGAAAAAGCACAGCTTTTGCTGGAGCTAAGATGGGGCCATGGTGTGCCGGGTTATCTCTGAATCCAGGTCTGGAAAGCTGAGTCTAGCTCATAGTCCCTCAGATTAGTGGCCTGAAGTGCACCATAAGGCAAATGCACACTGTAGATCAAACAAAGGCAAAGATCAGTCTGCAAGCATTTATACAAGGCCCATCCAATCCAGATGTTCATGCCACCTGCCAAACACCTGGGAACAACCTATGAGATTATGTTCTCTTCTGCAGATAAAGAAAGACCTCAGCCCTGAGCACACACATCCTAACCTCAAGCCACAAAGCTGCCAGCTTGAACCCAGGCAATAACTTCAGTGGAATTTGAGGCTGGTAATAAGCCCATTTAAAAACTTGTCTGCTGCATGACAGGAGCCAGGCACTGGTTAAGAGCCATGGAAATCTGAGATGGGAACTTGGCGTTGTGCACCAGCACCATACTGTGGCCAGGTGCCTGAATGGAGTATATCTTTGGTAGGAATTCAAGTTCAGACAGTGAAGATGAGATTGTAATGGATTCTCGACAAGCTCCAGTATCGAATCAAAGTCAAGGAATGTCTGGAGAGCAAGAGGAGGAGTTGTTAGTCCAAGCTGATGGGGGTGATATCCAACTGGTCCATGGGAATGAGAAGATAGCACAGCAGGAGGTGAAACTGACAGTCCAGTCTGATGAGAGGCCTGGTCTACCAGTACCCTAACAGGAGGAGCTGGAGTTGGGGACTGGGCAGGTCTCACAGCAGGAGTTAGGCAGTCTGACGTAGAGGCACCTTCCCTGAGGAGGTGATGCTGGTTGCTAGGAGACAGCACAGGTGGGAAATTCAGCTGACTGAGAAACAGGAAGAGCGCAGGAGAGCTAGGTTGCCTGCTAGGGTGAGTGGGCCAAAGGGATATAAATAAATCAAAGATGGAAAGTTTTCAGGGAGGGCTCAACACCTCACTCTGGGTGAACCCAGAGATGCCTAACAACACAGATGTGTAACAATAAAGCCCTGTGAAAAGAAACTCTGGAGCAGCATGTTTACTTGGGAAGAGGACCAGGCCTCGCAATATGGTGCCAATATCCCATTTTTAGATATCCTCTTGTTCAGTGTGGTGTCGGCAGGTTCGATTGGTTCTGCAACAGGAGCTCGACCAATCAGAAGGCTTGTTTACCTTAAGATCAGATGCTGCATTGTGTACTCATTATGTCACTGGATGATTGATTTTGTAGGCGCATGCAAGTGGTGCTCGGAGACCATGATATTTATGAGGAGCAAGGGGATGAGCAGTTCATCCAGGCTGAAAAAATAATTGTCCACCCAGATTATAACCCTATGTACTTGGATAATGATATTATGCTCGTCAAGCTGGCAAAGGGGGCTCAAATTTCCTCACGTGTCTCACCCATCGTCTTGGGCTATGGATGTCCCGCTCCTGGAACTGAGTGCCTGGTCTCAGGCTGGGGCAACACTCTCAGTGAAGGTGGTGAGTATGAGAGAGATTTGGCCAAGCCCTCAACTTGTTTCTCCAGCCTTAGGCCCCCTACCCTGTGACTGGAGAACCTCCAAATGCTGCTATTCTGTGTGCTTTGCTCTATCTTCTGTTGGTGTCTTCTTCTCAAGTGCACATCATCTTCCTAATTATCATTATTGTCAAATTATCATCATCATCATCATTATATTTGATCTACATGTTGGTGCTATGGAGGACGTCTTGATGAAAATGTTGAATCAGTGTCTGTCTGCTGTGAAAAAAGGCAGACATGGCTGGGCATCATGAGGAAAGGAATCAAAAATGACCCTGTCCATACTGTAGTTTATAAACAAGTTTTTACACACACTTGTACACACAACTATGCTTGTTACACTGGGCACGGCTCTGCACACTGCTTCCGTGGCTGGGGAACACGAGCTGGAGCTGTGCTGTGCTCCCGCCCTGCTTGGAGACGTCCCATGGGAGGGCACTGTGGGAACAGCATGGTGGACTGGACAGGCCTTTGCTCTGTTCCAGCATGGCTCGTGCATTCAGGCTCTGAAGAAATGCTTCGTTTGTAGGCAAAGATACACTGGAGCTCAGGCTCGCCTGGAAAAAAACACCCTTCCCCAATCCTTGATGTGCAGGGATGCTTTCTCAGCAGTCATGAAAATGTTTGTTTCATTTATTTTTACCCTGCATATTCCAGCGTAAAACTCCACCACTGTTCTTGTCCTTGTTCTTACTGATGATGATTCCAGAAATGAGGTTTGGTCCTGGCTTTAAATGTAAAAAAGCCGTACTGGATTTTGTGGGGTGGGGGTTAGTACTCAGGGTACATTCAGCCCCACATACACCACAGTGCAGCTTCCTATCTATTTTGGAAGCACCCTAGCAATTTAAGTGCCTCATGGGTATGTGCCAGTGAAGTCCAGAGTGCTCATTGTGTAAAATTATATACACAGAGAGCAAGGCAGCTTTTGTTTCCCTCGCATTACTGGTTTAATGCAGACCTTGAATGTCTTACACACCTCTCCTTTCTCTTTTGCTGCCAGTGTACTGGCCCAAAGTTCTGCAGTGTGTGAAAGTGCCAATCCTAACAGATGCTGAATGCAAAAAAGCTTACCCAGGAAATATCAGCGACAACATGATCTGTCTCGGGTACATAGAGGGTGGCAAAGATGCTTGCCAGGTAAGATCATTGGTCCTCTGCACACTTGGAAGTGATTAACAGTGGACACTCATCTGTCTGGCTTTGTTTGAAAACCATCTCCAGTTATTTAGGAATGACCATAAGGGCCCTGAACTGAAGGGGCAGGAAATATATTTATCTATTACTTAGATTTATATCTCGCCTTTTAATTTTTGAAAGAACTCAAAGCAACTTACATCATTCTCCTCCTGCTGCTGTCAAGCTTATCCCCACGGCAGCAACCCTGTGAGGTATTTGGGCTGAGAGTCTGTGACTGCCCCAAAATCACCCAGTTGGCTCCATGGCTGAGTGCGGACCAGAACCCAAATTGCCTCAGGCCCAGTCCTGTACTCTTAACCACTATAGCACCACTGGCTTTCGTATGGTGGAAGTGTGCCTTGGGCCTGCTGCCACACCTTTCCCTTTTTCTCTGAAGAAACATATTTCCTAAAGATCCACTTGCAAACCTTTGGACATTTGGAGACATCCAGATTGCGAAGTTATCAGGTAGCTTTCTGCTAATCTGTCCCATTCACTGTGAAAACTGTGAAGAATTTTGGCTTTAAACCTGACTTGCTTTTCCTCCATTCTTCTGGCCTAACAAAAGCAACAGAAAAAGTGCATTTGGGATGTGGTGGAGGAACAGATTTCAGTTCATGGTAGAACTTCAGGCAAGCTCTGCCATCTAAAATCACAAACAGCATAATTTTTAAATCAGCAACTGTTCATTTGTTCATTCGTTCGTTAGAGTAGAAGGACAGGGTGGGGCATCATTCATCCATTTAAAGGTAAGAACAAGGAGTATTTAAGCAAGAAAAATACGAGGATAGAAAATCAGGATGCAGACAAGGTGAGGAGAAGAATCCCATGTTTTGCTGAACAATGACAGAAAAGAATGGGTTAAGGGACTGAGAAGAACAGGTGTACATGGAGTACAAGAAATGGCATGTGATGACGGTAAATATAGGTAGCAAAGGTGATGTGGGCCTTTACAAATAAATTCAAAGCAAGCTGCTTGGGAATCTTCTGAAACCACCCTGCTCTTTATCCTACAGGGCGATTCTGGTGGCCCAGTGGCATGTGATGGAGTGCTGCAGGGCATCGTTTCATGGGGAATTGGGTGTGCCCTTCCCGGGTACCCTGGCGTATACACCAAGGTCTGCAAATACGTTAACTGGATCCACGACACCATTGCTGCTAACTAAAGCAGCCACTTCTCCTGTTGCTTCAACAAACGGGAGTCACTTTCTTCTCATGCAGTCATCTTAATGCAGAATATGAAGGAAATAAATAGCTTCAGACTGCCAAAATATTCTGGCTTGTGGTTGTTTTTATTTTAATAATATTCCAGCTTTGTAGGGCAAGCCTACACTGCACATTTGAAATGTGGAATCTTTCCTGGTTTTAGTTTAAGACATTTTGTTCAAGTAGCTCATTTCTAAAAAGTTTGCCCAATGTTTCTAGAGGAATCCCGGTCACCTCCAGAAAGGGTAAATGCAGATTTCCATGGAAGGCACAAAGTGGTACCACACCATAATGTAAATTCAGATTACAAAATGCATTATTTCTGTCAGCAGTGGGAAACTTGGAGCACAACTGTTTGAGTCTGAAACCTGGTTTTACCTTTTAGTGCAAGTTCACTCCATGAGACTAAAGAAATGTTTCATTTGTCTTCATTGGGTGTCATGAGGAAAAAACAGACAGTTTGTTGTTTATTTCATTTTTATACTACCCAATAGTCAAGGGCTTTCTATTATTTCTCTATTTATCCATGCATTCCTCTTTGTGAGTGAATTGAGTCAAACGCTCAGAATATATGAGCAGCAGCCTAGGAAAATCATAGCTGAAGGTTTCCCTCTACTGGAAGCTTGAGGAGCTGTTTTTCTGAAAAGCGGAAAAAAGCTTTTCATGGGTGTCTAAGGGTAGGTTCAATAATGTACCTAGAAAATGGAACTTCCTGTGTATTTATTTATTTCTACACTTTCTGATGGTCAGAGCTCTCTGGATAGTTTACAACAACACACAAAAATACAATATCAAATGCAAACAGCATTGAAAACGTTCTAAAACGGTTATCACACAAACTGTAAACCAAATTAAAACACATATAAAATGATCACAGTAGTCTATATGAATGAATCAGACAACCCATTTTAAGCTGCTAATGAAGCCCCTGTAAACTAATTAGATGCCCTGTGATAGAGGACAGTCTTAACCTGGCACCAAAAAGATATTAAAGTTGGCAACAGGCAGGCTTCAGTGGGAAGGGCATTCCACAAATGGGAGGCAACTACTGAAAAGGCCCTTCTCAGTGTTATTACATGCCTCCTCTAGAGGTAGCAATCAGAGGCCGGCCTCAGCTCTTGTTTGAAGTGTCTGAGTAGGTTATGGTCAGGAGAGGCACAGTAGGTGTAGGTGTATTCCCTATCCCCACAATTTTTAAAAAACGAAACTTTTTAAATATACAAACATGCATTTATATATAACCATAACAATGCGTGTGTGTGTGTGTGTGTGTGTGTGTGTATGAAAATACATCAGTTATCAAAAAATGAAAATAGCAACTATATGTATGCTTCAACAAAAGCAGACTATTGAAATAATTATCAATTCATAGGTGGCATATATACTGAAATATCAAAAGCATAAGGAAGACGCTTAATCTATTGTTATATAGGAGGTGAGTATTTATCCTTCCAGTGTCAGTATTGCAATTTCAATCTTGCAGAATTCATTTATGTTAAGCATTCATCCATTTCCATGTAGCAGATCAATAATTTCAAAGAGTGTGTAGATCAGTGAATCAGTGTGCTGTGACTGCTTCAATACAGAAATTATCCATGTAATAACCCCCTACCCCAAAAGAAGTAACCACTGGATATTTCTAAAACACAAAAGAAGCCTTAGCCACATTTCATCACCAGCAATTTGTTGAATTGGCCAATAGACATGAAACATACGTTCTTCCTGAACAAGGTGATGCAACAGGGAGCCGTGTAACTAATAAGGCAGGCTAGAAATCCAATAAATAAATAAACAAACAGGTACAGCAACACCAAACCAGCAAACCACTGATTAGACAAAATAGGACCATCTAACTCCTTATCCCATTCTGCTTAAAACCCAGCACATCATATCCACTCACCACCATCAAATATGTGCAGATGCTGTTTGTGGACCACTGTCATCCCTCATCAGAAGACTCACCTGTGGAAGAAGAGTTAACCGCCCCAACACAACATGATGCCCCACGCCCTGTGAGGGCACACACAGTAAAGTGTGGCATGTCTGAGTATGTGGGAAGGCTGCTGAGATCCTAGCCCTCAGGAAGTGGGGTGTCTGCCTCAGAAGAGGCTGATTGCCCCCAAATCCCAGGAAATGAGGGCATCACAGGTGATGGGTCCAGTTTGGAGCACTTCAATGATTTGCCAGGCTGCGGCACAGATCTGCTCTGGGACTCCTTATGGGTAGAGGGCCCTCCTGCAGCCGTTGGGAGTTCCGTGGGTTGTTTTGCCCAGCCCCCGTGATTATCTGGGTGTGCTGTCATGTTGTGCAAACACACACCATGGCTGAGAAATACCACCTGATGTGCACGAATCTGTGTTGCATTAACTTCTTGAAGTCTGTCAGCCAAGCCAGCAGTTCAAATTTAATAGTTATATTAATGAATGAAACACGCTGAAAAATGATCTAAGGCCCCACTCGGCTTAAGGTACAGTGGTGCCTCGGCTCACGAACGCCTTGGTTCACAACCAAATCGGGTCATGAACAAAAATTTCATGAAAATTTTGACTTGGGTTGTGAACTCCGCATTGGGTGGCAACCAAGATCACGGCCATCCCCAAGTGGGAAGGTGGCCACGATCGCAGTTGTGTTCGTGCAGGGAAGACATAGAGGAGCTGACAACAGAACTTGCTGAAATTGTCATTGAAGGAGAAAGAAGATACTGATTTCTATCAAACTTGGGATTCTTTTTATTGTTGGCTAGCGAAACGGGACTTCGTATAGATTCAAATATGTTTTTAAGTTATAATAAATAGAAAAAATGTGGGGGCTGACCCAGCAGGTCTAATGTTTCTGATGATTGATGTTGTTTTTAGTTTTTTGTTGTATTAGGGTTATCTAGAATAAAACTTATTAAAAAAAACAGAAGAACTTGCTGAACTCCAGACTGAGCAGCAAAAGGCACTTGCTGAGGAGGATTCCACTGAGGAAGAGGAAGACAGGGAGGAGGTTACCAGTGATGTGGTACAATCCATTATGAAAAAATGGAATGAGTGCCAGGATTTCTTTGAGAAGCACCACCCCAGCATAACTGTAACAAACAGAGTGTTGAATCTAATGAACAATAATGTGGTCTCTCATTTCCGGAGGGTTATGCAGATCAGGAAAAAACAAGTGACTATAGACAGATTTTTCAACAAAATTGATCCTGCAGCTAAGAGACAAAGAAGAGAGGAAACCCCTGACAGAGATCTCTCCAATGTCCTTATGGAGGGGGACTCTCCCTCAAAACAATAACCTCCCCCCCACCTACATTGGTGTTCTCTACTGTACTGTACTTTGTCACTTTGTTGTTCTTTGTCACTTTGTTGTTCTTTGTCACTTTGTTTCAAATTTTTCTGATTAAAAAAAAATTGTTACAGAACGGATTAACCTTATTTACATTGAACTTTAAGGGGTAATTTGACTTGGGTCACAACCAATTTGGGTCACATCAGAGTTGTGGAACGGATTCAGTTCCTGAGCCAAGGTATCACCGTACTAATATTAGTATAGACAGCCCAGTGCAACTTGGGACCAGGCTACCCATTTCAGGAGTGGGCAACACATGGCCACGTGCCTGCCTAGCAATCGCCTGCACAACGACATTTCCTCACATCTCTGGTGCCAATGTACACCACGGCTGCTGATCCCGGCATTACCTGTCAGGCAGGTAGATAGGCACCCTCCATAGTGCACACACATGGGCCAGCTTCTTACCTTCATAGTTCTTCCTTATTTGCATCTGTTTCTCTGGAAGCTATTCTATGATCAGAAGGGGGAGGGATAGCTTGTCCTGGCCGCCTCATCCTGTAGCTTAACTTGCACAAGTGCTTAATTTGTGTCCGTTCTTAACTGGTTGCCCTGACTTTAAGGACACTCAGAGACTAAGGCCCTTCCTCAGCTGGGGCTCTCCCTCCATGAACCTAGGCCTGACTCCACCGCAAGCCTGTCCTAGCTCCGACACTCCCCATCCACAGTTACCCCTGGGAAGCTCCCATGGAAAACTCTCCTTTTGCTGCTGGTGGATCCTGAGCTGTCTGAGAGGGGTGGACTATTCATCTTGGTGCTCCTTTATGCTCTATTGGCTAAGAATTTGAGATTGGCACAAATGTTTTAGATTTGTGCCTTTTGGAGCAGGTGGAGGCGGGACAGAATGAGAGACAGAGAGAGAGAATGAGAGAGAGTTTGCACATACACAAACTAGCATGTCAGGAAGATGTTGGGACACACTATTTTCTTTGTGGAGGGATTTTCGTTTGCAATGGCAAAGCATCCAACCATGTGATCCAATCTGCAATCAGAAGTAGTCCAGCCCAGGAATTGGCTTACAGTGTAGGGGGGAACTTCTAGGGATGCTTCTGCAACTGGAGTCTTAAATTATCTAGTCTTCTTTCCAAAGGTGGTACCAATGTGTTACAAATTCTCCATTTTTGTCCCATTTTCTATTCCTGAGTAAAAATAAATTCTGCATTACTGTTGCACATGTGCAAACCAATAAAATGCTCCAAAGCGGCAATCTTTATGTAACTGTTGGCACCACAGTATCAAGATTGTTTTTGTGAAATGCTTTACTGATGTACATGTGCATATATATGAACTGACAATACACCACACAAAAAGAACGATGAAATTATATAGATGATTGCTTCTACTTTTTGCAGAGGTTTACTTAAGAAAGGACAACACACGTGTCTGTAATGTAGAGAGGAGACAAAGAACTGAAAGAACTGAAAGCCACTAAAAACTCTGCATGTTCCAATTCCAGACTCAATTTTAGACATCCTCCTAGTTAATCTGAAATTTGGAAGGAGCAGAATGCTGAACAGAGCAAATTCTTTGGAAAATAAAAGAATGGAAGTGAGTGAAATGTGTTTAATTTTAGGTATGCTCCTCTACCTGTGTTCCAGGGTACATGTTATTATCTTCAGAAAGATATGTAAATTCTGGTCACTTCACAGAGCAGCATACAAATGGCTGCCAGAGGAAACAACTTCAATGCAGTATTTTCCCTTTCTCATTCTGCTATCTGTGTTCTAAAGAATAATGGCTGGAGGTGGTTCACAGCATCCTTGATACTAAAAATGAGTCATTCTATAGAATTATTCAAATTAAAATATGATGTGTAGCTCAAGATGGAGGCACAATCCAGCACAAGGGCAGGTCAAGCCATGCATTAGGAGGAATACTGGGCTGCGTGACATGCCATTTTCCCTTGGCACACTTCAGTCTGGCTTGTTGAATTTGGGGATGCTTAGACTGAGCATTTCTAGCGCTACCGATCAACCAGAAGGCACTTCACTGCTTTCTCGTCTTTTCTGTCTCCATAGATTTTCAGCATTAAGCAATAAGATGGAAAAAGTGGTGGGAAAACTGAGGAGGTGACAGACGGGAAAGGGCAACCCTTCACACCCCATAAAAGTCTGTGGATGAGGCAGGGTGAATAAAACAAGGTAGCAGGATAAAAGCCTTACCTGGAAGCACCCCAAATGCAATTTCCAGTGCCGTGCAAGTGCCGTATTTGTTTGTTTCATTTTTATACTACCCAATAGCCAAAGCATTTTGAGTGGTTAACAAATACGTGAAGAGGCTATATAAAGGCAGAACTTGTGATAAGCAGCAAGTTTGAGAAAGGCGGGTATAGGAGGTGTGAGTCATTTGGCATCATTTCCTTCATGGGCTGCCTTCGCAGTTCATGCTCTTCATAGCTGGCGCTGGCTATTTTGTACAGATCAAATGATGTCTCGCTTGCACATGCTCCTGTTACAGCTTCTCATTCCTCTGTGTAAGTGGCGGGGTGGGGTGGGATGGAACAGGTAGTAATTTGGAAGTGCTGGAGAGAGACATCATCTCCACCATGATGCCACTGGTGGCGCTCCTTGTGGTGCCAGATGCCCAGCTCCCAGCAGAACCGGCCAGCATGGCCACGAATCATGATTAATTCTCCAGTTTGGCCTGACATACAGGCCAAATCGGAGGGATCAGGTCACAAACTGTGATTTTTAAAAGGAAGCTATATTTTGTTTATATTTTGAGTAGCTGCTAGCTTGTGTTCCTGATACTGAAGTTACAGGGAACAGTTCTCTCACCTTCTAATCCTTTTCTTTTCTTTTCTTTTCTTTTCTTTTCTTTTCTTAGCTCTCTTAGTGCTTAGCCATGGACAACAGAAAGTGCTGCTCTCCCAGATACCCAGGTGGGTGTCACAGCAGATTGGGGGCATGGCCAATATGAACTGCTACCAGAATTTCACAGACCACAGCTGGATGTACTGGTATCAGCAGAAGGCAGCTGACCAGCCACTGAGACTCATTGGTACATTGATTAAAGGGTCAAGCTCCACTTTGGAAGAGGGATTTGATAACAACAAATTTGTGATACAAACTGAGCAGGAGAAGCACTTCTCACTGCAAATAGGCGAGCTGAATCCTGAGGATGCCACCATGTACTTCTGTGCCTCCAGAGACCACAGTGCTGAAAAACTCCAGGAACTTCCTACAAAAAACAGGCCAGAAGTTTGCACGGGGATCAGGAGGCTGAAGACAGATGGAATCTCTAAAGAGCAACCATCACGGGGTCGCCTCACCTGTGGTGAGAACCGGGATTCGCAGTTTACCTATCAGAAACGCAGGCACACACCAGGAAGAAGAGCAATGGGTTCCCCACAGCCCTTTTCTCTGCTCCCATTTCAGACACATTGCCAGCCTTGAAGAGAAAGAAAAGAAAGTGGTAAACGTGTGATCACAGGCTCACCTTGTGAACTGCCCAGAGAGCTTCAGCTATCAGGCAGCAAAGAGATAAAGTAAAAGTTTAAAAAACTCGTAGAGCCAGTGTGACATGGTGGTTCCAGTCCTCACTTGTTTATGGAGCTCACTGGGCGACTTTGGACCAATCAGCCCAACAAACCTCACAGGGTTGTTGTTGTAAGAATAAAATGGAGTCCTGAGTTCTGCAAAAGGCAAAATATAAATACCATATCATCAACAACAACATCATCTTACACGTTACATAAAAATCAGTCTTTAAAAGAAACAAAAAACAGAGCAACGTGCCTCTGACAGCTGGAGACCATGCACCTTTATGCCAACATGGATGCTGCCCAACCAGTACCCATCCCAACCTTAAAATTTACAGGTTTAAAGGTTTTGCATCTGCTTTAAATTACCCATGGTGAAGCATTGCAGAACTGTTTTTTTAGAGGGAGAAAAACAGAAGAGTGAAAAAGAAAAAGAATGTAATTTTGCATTGAATGTAGTTGGGATGCTTCCGATATAGTCTGCCATTTCTGCATAACATCTGGTTTTACAACCCCCTCAGACTTTCAGCAGACATCACCCAAAAACAAGCCTCCTTCGCCAGAAAGGTTCATCCATTGCAGGCATGCCCGTCCCTTTGAGGTCTCCATCCTGTAGTCTTGTGTGACGTGTAGTCCATCCAAGCCTTATTATAACTGCTCACACAGTCATGTGTGCGCAGTCATGTGAGCAGTGCAGCAAATCAGGAGGGGATTTCCCCATGGCTGCAGCTGCTGCCCCACAAACAGGAAAGGCGATTGGTTGAGTATTAGAAAGGATTGCATCACCCTCAATAAAAGCGATTCCCCAAGAGACAATCATCTGGAAAGGCGTGCAAAAGTTGGGTGCTACAAGTGCTAAAGATCAGCAGGCAACGTGGAGCTATTCTGTCCTATAGAAACCTCCTACTTTCACTCTAAAGCAGATTTCTATGGAAGAGCAAATGCCTTCCTCTCAGGTACATGTGGAGCGTGTCACATTAGCACTTTGCAATCACGGAAGGCTTTGCGGGTCAGCACGCCCCAGAACGAAGAGCGCTGCTGGGTCTGCTCGGGGTTCTTCTATTGGGCATTCTGTTCCCACAATGGCCAACTGGAGACTGGGGCAAGTGGCTGGTATTTGTGCCCATCAACTTCGCAACAAGCCTGCTGATTAGCCTGGCCCTAGTCTTTCCATGTGGAAGGTGAGCTCAGTTTGCAATAAGGACTCCGCAGCTTGTCACTTGCACCCCCAGCCACTGCAATACACTTTCTTTATGGTGGCCTTTTGATTGGTTGGTTGGTTTTTGGTTAAAAAAAATCAATCCTTTTCATCCTCATCTATAATTTAATTTTAGATTTTTTTATTATAAAAGTATATAGTTTCTTCACCCATCATAGACCCTAGAAGAGTTTTCTAGCTATAGATATGAGTTTGGCTGGCAGTACGGAGAGGAAACCCAGGGCCCTGTGACTTCCTGAGCAGAGAAGCCCCTAGGAAACGTTGCACCTGCCACCAGGTCTTTGATGGCTCCTGCCACTTCTACTGTTCCCTGGTTTGGTTGACTGTTGGTGAGTCAGAGTTCAGGAAGGAGCTCTTTCTGTATGAGACTAAATCATTGTGGGGACAGCAGGCACGGTGATTCATTTCTTGGGAAGGCCTTTACAAAAACCCTCCCTTCGTTAGTGAATAGGCTTTAGCAGCTCTAACTGTGCAGACTTCTTACATTCTGGACCATTCATAGTTTGGAATAGTTGACCTACGTTAACTCTGACTGCATATGGCATTCATTTATTTTATTGAAAATGTTTGTTCCCAATCCACAGGACTTTCAAAGAGGCTCAAAATATGCTAAATGTCTTTCTCCCCCTTCTCTTTCTGTCCCCATCCATCGCTCTCCATCACTCTGTCTCTCTTCTTCTCTTAAAAGCGAGCAAACGAACTCAAGAAACTTTACAAACAGAATGGAGTGGCCTCTCAGGTGGAACCCACCTGAGGTTGTCAGCATGAAATTCAGTCATGAGTCTTGTTTTACCAACTTCTATAGAAGACCATTTCCTGGCTAATTCAACAGATTACCTGTTTACTGCATTTCTCATGGTGGGACAGGGCTGACTAGAGCCTGGTTTTGCTCATGGAACAAACTGTCACCACAACTCCAAGTGGCTTGCTGAGGGTGGATTTTGACCATCCTCTGTGTGTGTGGCTATCATTACCACAGGAGAAGTATTTAAGCCACCAGAGGATGAGTAGCCATTTAGACCCATTCTTAACTATCACTCCCTTGTCATGACTGTCTTGCCTATTTGAGGAATATTCCATGAGGCTGGAGTGGAGATGCAGCTCCTGGGACATTCTGAGGGGCCAGCTGGAAATAGCATTAGCATGGCTGGTAGCACTGCATTCCAGCAATATCCTGCACTTCGGAAAAGGGACTCGACTCACTGTCCTAGGTAAGTCACTCCCAACAATGCAAAGCATACACAAATTAAGAACAGTCCCTTTATCCAGGGAATGCTGGGAACTTTCCCAGCAGTCTCACCTTAGCTCTAGATAATTTGGAGGAAGCTACAGCAGTTGAACTATTATGTGTGAGTGTAGTTTCTGCTTTTTCCTTCTGAACACCCCCACCCCACTCCTGTGCTTATCCCATCGCTGCAAGTTTGTGCCCTCCACTTTGTTCTCCGGTGCCTTAAGTTTAAATACATACTTCCACTCTTGGAAATATAGAAATGACTTTCAGACCCACATCCTCACCTAGGCTCTCCTACAAAGCCAAAGAATATATTATTTCAAATACTTAGCCCTATAAAAACATCAGTGACAGTATTAGTTAGGATAGGGAGCATAAAAGAGAAAATGAATGGTGTGAGATTTCTTTATTTAAAGATATAAATGGAAAAAGTAGGTCTATCAAAGCAAATAAGAGCACTCTGGCTTCCATAGGGCATACTTAATTTCACTAGATGCGTGATGTAGCTGACAGGTATATATGAGTACAAAAAGCAGAGTCTGTAAGGTGTGGAACCAGAATAAGTAGCAATAGTTCTGCCTGTCAAATTTGCATTTCATTTCTTTTGGCCCCATTTTCTCAGTGCCTCTCTCTCTCAGCTGATAATAACCCTTCAAGTACCTGATGAAGTAGGCTCTAATCCACAAAAATTAAGTCTTAATGAACCTTATTTGTCTTTTAAGTACTTCAAGACTCTTTGCTGCTTTTGCTACAAGGGCTGACCCAGCTGCTTCTCTGGACTGGGTTTGATAGGTCTGCTGAGTGTCTTCCACCATTTCTATCACAGTTATCTTGGAAAAACAGAGAGGGGCTCAGTAGAAATGATGTGAGGTCAAGGGTTTAAATAATGACATTTTGGACAGTGAAGAAATCTTCTGGAAGTAACCAATATTTCGGTCCATTCCTTTTGCATCAGAAGATAACATGTCCCATCCTCTTCTGAAAACTGTTGATGTTCACATTTATCTTGTGCCAGATGAGTTAATTAATGAAAGAACTAATCTGTGAGCTCTTAAATCACCCTGTCTTAATTTATCTGGGAGATTTACTCTTGTAACTCTGTTTGCCACTGTGTCAGACACAATTGTATTTTGGCCATGGAACCAGGTTGATGGTGCTAGGTAAGTTCTTCTAAGATTTTTTAATTCATTTTTAGTGAAGGGGTATGATGCATGAACCCCATCAGGAGGATGAGGTTCTTGGGAGAATGTCCCAGTGTCTGTACCTCAGTTATCAAGAAGCTGAAAACATCCCTCTTTCCCCAAATAAACATTTCAGGATCCAAAGTAAGTAGGAAGGGGCAACTTCAGTTATACTCCGAATCAAACATTGTAAATGACGAGATTGTAATTTCATCTGACAAATAGCCACACAGGCAGCACATGGTTGTTCCAGGGGAACACCCTGGCTCTCTCCCCACATCCCCCAGTGTTTCCATGGTCACTGTATCTTTCCCATCACTTTCCCATCACTCTTGTATTTTTGGTTGGTAACTGAGGAGTCAAGCAGGACTCCCAGGAGGATTCTGTATTTAGCCACAGGATGTACATCACTGGCTCTAATTTTCTTAGTCAGGAAAGTGGGAGAGAGAGAAATGGGGCATGGAGGGGAGGGGGAGAGGTAGCATCCACCCAAGAAAACACCATTCTTTTTCGTTAGTGGCTTTCTTACTGTGCTCCTACTCTGGAGCTCACTTTGGAAAGGGAACTCACCTCACCATACTTGGTAAGAGAAATCCATGCTGTATTGTTTCAGCCAGCATCAAATGTTGTCAGTGGTCTGGCAAAGCCAAGGGATCTGGAATGCAGTCCTTTCTTTGCTTAACGGCCATCTAAAAGAAGGTAGCAATGTGCACATCACTGGACACTTTCCCCAAGAAAATTTGGCATTCTCCTCAAAACTGATTTTGGCTTCCCCTGAGCATCGTTACCCATTTTGCTTGAGGAGAAACCTTCACATTCACTGGGGATGCGGCTGTAGCTAAAATCCAGCAAGAGAAACATGCATATGTGAAGGATAGTCACTCACACACTCACTCAGCTGGTCTTAGCAAAACTGGTTGCACTTCCTCAAAACTCCACAGATGCTTTGCCTGAGGAGCAACTCTTCAGTGCAAAGCTTACCATAAGCAAAATCTCAAATGGTTCACTTGAGTCCTGGGGCAAATGACAAAGGGACACCCATGGTCTTCGTTCTGCACAAGGATTGGCTCCCCACCTCCTGTATACCCCTTATTTCCTCAGCATATGAGTACTGAAGGTTAGGTGCTATGGGGCACAGAGCCCCAGTTCTGCTGACTTTCCATAAAGATAGGAATGGGGGAGATGCAGAGTTCAGCCCAGGAGTGGTGGGGTGGGGTAGAGCTGAATCCTTCTACTGGTTGTGCTTCCCATGCTGCAGTGTAGACCTACCCATCTCCCTTCCTACTTTACAGAGAATCAATGGTCACCCAATTCTGGAAACTGCTGCTGTTGTGCATCGTTTAGCCCTGAATGTATGGACTGACAGCAGCGGGAAATGCCACATGCATTGCGATAGGGATGTTCTGGGAGGCAACACGAAGCAAAGCATTCTGTCTGTGGGGCTAGACCTATGGAGGCCCACTCACACCTCTGCAAATCATCCATCTTACAGTCAACCAGGGGTGTCCATGCATGCTGAACCAGCCTGCCCTAAGAGTTTTACCTCCCCACATGTATGCCAGCCTTCCCCAGCTCCAGTACCCTCCAGCTGTGTTGGACTGCAACTTCTATCATTGGCCGGGAGGCTGGGAATGATGGGAATTGCAGACTGACAGACCTGGAGAGAGCCAGGTTGGAGAAGGCCGCTGGTGTGGTAGCCCATTCCATGCTCGGGGAAAGTGTGACGGCCTCAGCGCAGCTCTAGTTTGCTTACCAGCCTCAAGGAATTACAGCTAAGCGAGAAAGATGCTGTCAGGAAGCAGGTGCCTCCGACGAAGTGGGCTCTGCAACCAAAGACCTGTGACAGGCTGGGAGGAAACAAATGCCACTGCCTTCTCATTCCTTTTCATCTCTTATCGGTGCTGGATAAGTTATGGCAGCAGATGGTGAATCTTCGATGGCAGTAGGTAGAGACGGAAACCATTAGCTTCCTTGTGGGCCATCTCACAGGGTTTCTTTCAAGGGGCAGATGGCTGTGCAAGCACGGGGCAGCTCTACTTTGGAGCTGGGACCAAGCTGGCTGTTTTAGGTAAGGAAGCAGACTAACGAACCTCCATGATGAAAGCAGGTAAATCGAGCGTTCCTTTGGCTTGCTGATGTTACTTTTACAAAACCAGACATGATGTGTGTCCTGTGGTTATTGAGTGGTTGGCATGCTGGAACTTTTTCATTTTAATATGCAATTTAGATCCAAAGTTGACTCCAGAGCTAAATCAATCAGAGAAGGCTTTTGAAATGTACGTTCTTTGAATTTTAGCCCTCTGTGTGCCCACAACTGTATAAGAGGCTAACACGGGCTATTAATAGCTCGGTGGTTGTTATTATTTAGCAGCAAACCCTGTGACAGGGTGTTTAGAAGGCAGGAAATACGGCTGACCCTGGCAAGGATCTCTTGACTCACACACCCTAGGACACTCCTGCCCTACCTGATACCCTTTCCAGCCACCACCAGCAGTCAGGAGTGCTGGGAGTTATAGTTCAAAACATCTGTAAGGCACCAGGTTGAGAGGCCTCTTAGGACAATGGGCAGCCACTGTGGTGGAGTGCTTTGGACTTGCCTGAAAAAACGGGCTGCAAGCAGCTCCCTGCTCTGCCGCAAAGCTCCCTGGGAGAGCGAGTTGCTCACTCCTTCCCCATTCAAGGTCCCTCCTTAGGAGCCTAGCAGAAAGGAAACTAAGTAAGCCCCATGGAAGGAAGGAAGAATGGAAATGTAATACATAAAGCAATGCACAAAAATGTCCTGAGAGAATCCATTTTAATTCAGGCAAACCTCTGCATGGAAGTGTTAGACCAGCGTCTTTGGAGCCCCAGTATTCCTTGCCCCACAGCAGGTTAACAAAATAGCAAAGGAGGAAAAAGCAGGTCGTATCATAGAGGAGTGAGGCTCTCTTTGAGAGAGTTGCCTCCAGCCTTTGTTGAGAAGCCTACCCTTTGGTACAGCAGCTTCACGCTGTGTAGCAACTCCCCATTGAACTTCGGCCAAGGAACTCGGCTGTTTGTTTTAGGTAAGCAGAAGGAACAGAAAGCACAAAGTGAAAGAAGAGGACTGGTCTGCTTTATGAACTTGGGGATGTTTCTTTGGGGCATGGAATCTAGGCTCTTGGGAGGCAATGTCCGTGTGAGACAGGAGAGACAGTGTGAAATAATGGGCAGAGTGTCGGACTTGAAGCAGAGAAATTAGAATCCCTGATCAGCCATGAATCTCACTGAATGGCCACTTATTTTATCTCAGCCTACTTTGCAGGGATGTATTAAGACTAAAATGGAAGCATCTTGAGATCTAGTGCCTTGAGCAACGTTCCCGAACTCTGCTATGGGCAGTTTACCTATTCTATCCTGCAGTGATATTCTCCTGTGTGTCTCTGTCAGATCTAGACTATACTTTCTTGAAAGTTTTAACTCAGTAAGAATTCATCCCAAATGAACAGGGTCTCCTGGAAGGTATGGGTTTGGTCTAAAGATATCATACATTTCTCCACCAGAGCCTGTGCACAGTCCTATAACTCTCAGGTTGAGCACATCTTTGGCGCATTGTTGGTTCCCTTGACCATGCCAATTAGACTGCAGAAAGGATAAAGAATCAGAGGATAAGAGTTATTTTTTGTAAAATGCCGTTTATTCCGGGGCCATTAATTATGGAAACCTAAATATATATCTATATCCTCCTAATTCTTGAAATCTTTCAGGACTGAAAAGGATGACATTTCTGTAGGCTCAAGACATTGTTTTTATAGATAACAATGGGGAGAAACAGCCTCCACTCCTGCATAGTCCCAAAGCACTTTCTAGACCAGGTTTTTTTATAGACTGGTCTTTAATTCTGTGTAACTCTGATAAACTGCATTTTGGACAAGGAACATGACTTATTTACTAGGTAAGAACTGTAAAAATCAGGTCTCCATGAAACATTTACATAACCTGCTTTATGGGTTCAATACACTGGGATGGAAGTTATAACAACAAACCTGCCAGGTGAAACAGAATTATTTAACAGGGAGCTGAGACTGAGAAGCTGGATAGATGAGGTGGCTTTTTTGTAATCCCAGGCTCAGAAATAGTGTGAATAAACTACAGTGGGGGAACAGAACCCTCCTAACACATTTCCAAATCTTTTCTTTAGAGTAGGTTACTTCACATGCTGTGTACTTCTGATCCATTGCACTGTGGTCAAGGAACATGGCTTACTGTACCAGATAAGATTTGTAGAAATTATGCCTCTATCTTGCTTTTATGTAGCTCATTTCAAAGCTGAGAGCCCTTTCCATATGAGCACAGTTACTGCACAGCATCTTTTGTGAAGGTTGCTGTCCTGGAGTTGCTCATCAGAAAGACTCATTTGGAAGTTAGATTCAAAAAAATTAGCAAAGAAAGCCATGCTGGGGTGGTGGGGGTGAGGTCTGCTATTGGGACAAAAGGGTTTGCCCAGGCATACCTAGAAGAGGGGAGTCCATGGAGTCTGCCCCCCATAAATTGGGAAGACTATTGTACAAAGGAAGGATTTTGTGCTGCTTAGAAAATGGGCCAAGGAAGCACAGGGATATGTATAAAGGGGGGCTTTAAAAGTGTTATGTCCTTTATAGACCCTTCCAAAGTGAGGCTTTAGTTCTGTTTGGATAACTGTATTTTATATCATCATCCCTAGTGTTTTTAAGGCTTCTAGGCAGAAACCTAAAAGTGTTCAGGGGAAACTGGATGCACATACACCTTCCAGCTGTCCTAATGTACTAGGAAGAGTGGGGAGATGTTAGAAATGCCCTTTAAAAGGCTTATTTACATGCTATAGCATTTCTGCTTTTTACATGGGTTCTTAGCCATTAGATCCCTCTGTGTGTGTGTGTGTATAGATAGTTCTCTTTGTGTGTGTGGGCTGGGTTAGATGCATCTTGATTCCAGTACATGTGGATGCAAATGCACACACAAAATCCTAGCATACTGCTCCAGGTCCACCACCGCCATTGCCACCCATGTTCCCCAGCCTTGCACTTCAGATGGGAAATATTGCTGAAAGTGTTGGCGCTGCAGCTCTTCTGTGCTAATGTGCAATCGCTGTGAAATTAAGCAGGATGCATTTAGCACCAGGGTGAAGCTAGACATTATCTCAGCATACGTGCACCCCGATGTTTCATTTTCTGAGTCATGGGAATGTGGGACAGGGGCCATTTACCAGTAAGAAAACTGGAAGCAGTGCTTAAACCTCCCCACAAAGACAGGGAGGTTAAACCTCCCCACAAAGACATTTTCCTATTCAAATGCTCTAGGTTGGCCTTTACTTACCTAGAGACCTGTATTGGACCACAAGTGCCATTGTCCCTTATCACTGGCCATACAGGCTGGGAATTTTGGGAGTTATACTCCAACACATCTGGAGCGCACCAGACTGGGGAATGCTGTCCTTAGCCAGCTTTTACTTGATTATTTGAGCCCAAGAGAGACGGAGGATCCTCTAAGAACAGTTAAGAACAGTTTCTGCAGGAAGACTTTGCAGGCCTGGAGAAGGTCTGTGCCCCCTCCTCCTCGCCCGCTCTCCTTTGCAAGTGCCCCTCCCAGCCGTCACAGAGGGGCCACAAGCAGAAATGCTGGACTGGGAATCCTCTGTCCGCTGCTTCACAAGACCATGCAGGATGAGCTGAGCCAATAAATCCATCAGAGCAGGTGGAATGAGAGCCTTCAGCAGTGTGCAACTGCCAGAGTGCAGGTGTGAGGACAGGTGTGACGAACGCACAAGGGGCCCTGTTTCCATTTGCACTGTTTTGGGGGGTATTCCTTTCACTCTTCATGGAGCAAGTTTGCTGACGGGGATGTCACAGTGTGTTCTTCAGATTCGTTGAACTTTGGACAAGGAACACGGCTTACTGTACTAGGTAAGAAAGGTGCAGACCGTGAGCACATTTCTGTGCAGCTGGTATGCTGCCGAAATGATCATCTGTCCGCAGATAACAGGAGAGAGAATCAAGGAAAAATGTAGAGAAATTCTGCTGTTGGGATGGGTTCAGGAGATGAGGCTTGTCAAGCTTTGGGATGGAATTTTTGGGATGGAATTTTTTTGAAGACTCTCGCCTGACACCCCAATGTAGTTAAGGGTGTGGGATCCTTAGCTGAAAGCCTTTGTATAGGAAACTAGACCTTCAACAGAAAAGGTTCTTGGCCTGAGATGCTTGTTTTGGGGGTGCTTCAGAGGATTTCAGGTTTTGGAGGTGTTTGTCTGCAGGGTATTTGACGATGTGTACCTTCTGCAGTCTGGACAAGAAGTGGTCGATTCCCGACACAGGTTTATCACCTCACTGACAACTAGAGCTTTGAGGATGTGGACGGGCAGTGAATCACGGCGGTCAGCATCACCCCTAAAATCAATGCCTAGCAAGTCCCAAAGTCACAGCGATCACTTCCATTATATCGCTGCCCTGCCTCTGGGATGGCAAATCTGGAGAAGGGAGAACCAGTTGGGCCTTGGACCTCTAGTGGCTTTTCCCTGTTCTGGGTCGGTGGGGTGTGGCCCAGACCTCCAAAACTTCTCAGACAAAACCCGCTTTGACTGTCCAAGGAACCTAGTACCAGTGTGAAGGTCCATGCTAAAATGAGGGACATATCAGCTGTTTGCTGCACTGATGAGAGGGAAAATCATTTTCTCACTGCCGTGTACCTTTGTGCTCTGGATATGAGCTGCACTTTGGAAATGGAACTAGACTCACCGTTTTAGGTAGGAGTTTTGCTAAAATTTGGTGGGGAGGGGAAGTTGGTTGCAGGTTTCTTTTAGGATATTCATGGTTTGCAGGGGACTGGGGCAAACTCTGGGCTTTAAAGTAATACTTGGTTTCAAGTCTCAGTGAGTTGTGGATAATGATGTGCAGGATTAAGCTGCAAGGCTGCAGACAGAGGAGGTTTTTCAGAGTCGAGCAGGAGGTTTGCAGGAGTACTCCCTGGTTGTGGTGTGTACATTTATCCCACTTTTGCCTCTGGTGAATCCATTTCACTGTTGCTGATGCTAATTGTTTCCTCTACCTGCAAACTCTGTTTCACCAGAAGTTACTGTGGGGGAAAGATGTGTGTCTACACCAACAAAGATGCCAGATTGGCAGCAAAATTCTTTGCATACCTCCAGGGAATTAAGTCCTATGGAGCTGAATGAGGGTTATTCCTAAGAGAATGTGTACAGAATTGCAGCCTTATCAGTTAAGATACCTGAGTTATCTGAGTGGCGTGGTGTAACTTAGTGTCCTGCAATAGCAGGGGGGTTAGACCCAGTGGTCTTCTGGACCCTTCCAACTCTGCTATTCTTTGAGTCTATAATTCTCAGATGCAAGAAAATGGGACAAACTTGAACTAAAGCCCTCTATTTATATACATACACACACTCTCTCACACACACTGTATTTCTGTGGCTGGCAAATGGAAAAAAATAGGGAATTCTGGAAAAAAGTAAGCCATTCTTTGAAATATCTCCTCTCACACAAAAATAAATTCTATTGTGCTCCCCTTCACTGATATCTGATACTTTTTATTATTAGCAAACTAGCCTTGCTATGCCAGTGTGTGTTTGAAATGGACAGTGGGCACATTCATGAACACAGGGATAAATAAGAAACCTGTGAAGGGAACGGGGCAAGTGAGCTGTCAGAATCTCATGGAAAGCAGGGCATTTCATCACCCTTTAATGTGGCAAGCTGTGCACGGTCAACCCATTCGCGCTGTCAGCATGGGCAAAGTTAATAGGGTATCAGCGAGGTTTCTGGCAAACAAAACAGAACGTTAGGGTGTCGTCTCGTGGCTCTAATCCTTTAAGTTACTAAATATGGATATGGAAACACAGTCCCAATGCCTAGCAGTCAATTATAGCCCTGCAGGCAGCAATCACTTAGTAGTGAGTTCTACATAAGTAAATGGGACTTAGTTCTGAATAAATGTACATCGGATTCAGCTGTACCTCTGTCATTTCTGTGTCCAAAGCAGTCATGACATCAGTAAGGGCTGCGGTCATTTTATTTCTACCAAACCAACTCTGCTGTTCACTCTCTCCAGAAGCAAAGGAAGCCTGGAGAACTCAGAACTTTGTGGTAGGCAGAAGCCATACTTGATTTGCAGAAGGCCCTGTTTGATCCCCGGAGTCATTGATTAAAAGGATCCTAGGCAGATGGGCTCTTCCTTGGGTCTTCCTGGGATCTTGGAGAACCACAGACAGATTAGTGGCAGTGAACTAGATGGGCCCAGAATTCCTCACTGCATTTTCATCAAGTACATATTTATGGAACAGAAAGTATGGTTGACAGTGGAGGTTTGTCTGCAATTTTGTCTTCATAAGATATGAACAAACTGCATCCATCAGCGGTTTTCTGCCTATTAGTACGAAGCAAGATGAAACCAAATTATGAAAATGATGGAAAGGTGATGGTGATGGTAACTTTACAAAAGCAGAGTGAAGCCCCTTCAATGGAAGCTGCATACAAACATTGAGTCTGTAATCACATACAAGTCGTATACATTACATTGGCCTGTGTCACACTGTATGCATCAGGCAAGTTATGAGTTTATCGTCGATGAGGAGCTGCAGCCAATCCTGGCCATGTTTGCATGATAACTCGCTTTCAAACACACTATGTTTGCAGAGCCCCACATAAAGGGCAGCTCCTCACCCCGTTGCCCAAGTTCAAGAGACATCCTTGGACCACGTGGGAAAACAAGGCAGGCAGTTTCACAAGTCTGTTGACGGCAGACTCCAGTGGCACATTAGCAGAAGGGGCAGGAAGAGACTCTTATGGATCCCAGCAAATGCCCCGCAGCCTGCAGACATCCTTGCTGCATTCATACTTTACATTTTGATTAATATTTAAAAGACTACCAGTTGAAAATTAAGAAACTGCTGTGTGCGACAGCCCCTAGAAATGTTCGGAAAGCTCGCAGTGATTTCTAGTGCTGCCAATATACTTTGCCACGTGTGGGCGCATAAATGCACACTGAGAATAAAGTGCAGTTCATATGGCATGACTTCTGCGAGGAATTAACCCATGCAGAGCAGAGTGGGAATGTGCCTGAGCTTCATCTGCTGATCAGGCCTTTTGTGCAAAAGTCTGCAGGACTTTGTGCACAAAGCAATGACCAAGGGATAGAGGTTGAGAGCAAAGACAGCGGATGCGATCCCGCCTACCCCTGGGCATGCTGACTCTTCATTTGAATCGGACTTCTCTAAGGCCGACGCACACATTCATATACATTACCTGCTCTCACAGTGTGTTTCCTCAGCACTTGATGACTGTGTGGACAGCATACCCACTTTGTCAGGAAATACTGTGTTTCAGGTGAGAGAGGGATAATTTGCAATGGCTTGTGCAGGCATGAACATAGTTACCTGATGGCATAAGCAGCAAACAGATATGTGCAAGCTAACCTATTTTGTCTTCCAGGACAAGGAGAATCTAGCAAGCCTCCAAAGGTGACCGTATTTTCCCCATCTGCTTGTGAGCTCCAAAAACATCAGAAAGCCACCATTGTGTGTTTGGTCACTGACTTCTACCCAGATCATGTCAGTGTGACCTGGACTGTGAATGGTGAGGTCAGAACAGAAGGAGTAAGGACAGAGGACTCCAGAAAGGAAGGCACAAAGACCTTCTCACTGATCAGTCGCTTAAGAATTTCCAGCAATGAGTGGCAGAACTCAGGGAATTGGTTCCAATGCAGCGTTGAGTTTTACAATGAGAAAGAAAGTTCATTCTATAACGCCTCCACCACTGGTGTAGGTAAGTGAAAATCAGAAAGTGATGTGCAGAGCTGAGCATATTTAGTGCTAATAAAGTTTTAACTAAGTGATGGTTTCACTGTTACATAATTTCTTGGAAAACAAAATCTTGCACCAGCTTTACCCTAGTTCTATCCCAAGAAAGAAACTGAATATGAATTATACAAATTGATTCAAGTAGCAAGGTTTAGCTTGTTTTCCATTCTTTATTCAACTCTGGCTAGTTATGCATAGGAAATATAAGCGATGTAGTTCATTTGAGCCCTCCTGCCTTCATCCCTAGAAATCTTATTTAGCAGTTCCTCATGCTTTTGAGAGGAATTGCCCTCCAAACTTCAAGGCAGCAACAGAAAATAGCTTTTGAACTAAATACTGTAAGGCAAAACTGGGCACAACTGACCCAACAGGGAGTGCCAACTCTAAATTGGGGGGGGGTCACCCCACGCTCTCTCTCCTGTAACACATACAAACATGTTCATACTTCATACACATCCACATGCAACACACATCCTTTTCACATACGACATAACCATTCTATCTCCCAAGACACACACACACACAAGCACACACTATCATACATAACACACGTTCACGCACACATCCACGTTCAGCCCACAGATGCATTCTGACAGGAAGCACACCCTTTCTCCCTCTCATGCACACATGCTCTCCCACACAGATATACATTCTGTTTCCTCGCACACACCTGCATGCACACACTCATTCACAGAGCACCCTGCAGTTTGGCAAGAAATGTACATTCTGTTGGCTCTAGTGGAAGGCATTTTTCATCCTAATTGTAACACCAGAAGGCAGTATTTGAGGGTGACAGAGGTGGGAAGGGGAAGGGAAACCCTTTGTTCCCCATTGAAGGCCCCAAAATAGGCCCTCACCATGTGACAATACCTGATTGCTGACCAGCTGCAGGTGTTTGTGAAAGGATGCTGGCCGGCCGACCAGCCGGTGGGCTCTTAACCCTAACAAAAGCTTTTCTCCCTTCTCCTTTCAGATGGCAATGGAGACGCGAGAGGTAAGCCAAAATCATCTTGCTCTTTCAAAGCTGATGCGCCACTGAAGGAAATTTAAGTGTGCCTATGTCTCTGATGGCCCTAAGAAAAAACACTCAGAATCCCATCCTGTAGAGTTCTGTGCTTCGCAATAAAATCGCAGATGTGCAGGCCCATGAACTGTAGCACAAAAGAAGACAGGGCATAACATCTGTCCCGTTGAGTTCCTTGGGACAGGGATTACGTGGAAGCCCTTTGTTCTGCTCCAGAAAGTCTGCATCTCACAGGAGCAGAGCTCCCTCCTGGCTGTACACATAAGCACAGCTGCAGACATAACATTTACATTTCTGCCTGCATTTCCTTGCCCACTGCCAGGCTCTGTCGGTCTGTTCAAGATAATGGTTCTCTGTGTTGTTTGCTCCTTATGCAGTGATCAGCCAGGTAATTTTAGACTCTGGACTTAATGGTCTTACTGTATTTCATTTATTACATTTCTATACCGCACAATAGCCAAACCTCTCTGGGCAGTTTACAAAGATTTAATAACTTAAAAATATGGTGTAACATGCATAATATGAAAAACGCTTAGCTATAAGCATAGAAATGGAGCAGACTTCATACCCCCACACATCCAAACAAGATCCCATGTCCCAATTAAAAACCTATCACAAACTGCCAAATGCTTGGGAGGAGAGGAAGATGCTGAAACAGACAGGTCTTGCTGGGTCATATATTCCATAATTTGGGGAGTGCCCCCCAGGGGGCACTTTTTCTTGTTGCTGTCTTGGAAGTCTCCCTTGAAGAAGGCACCTGGAAGAGGGTCTTAGCTTATGAGTATCCTATGCAGAAGAGGCTCTGAGTCAGGTTTTAGGGTCCCAAGCCATGCAAGGCTTTACATGTGAAAACTGGCACCTTGAATTGGGTGAGGAAAGTGCAGGCAGGCAGTGCAAGTGGGCCAGAAACAAAGATATACGTGGGGAATGGGGGGCCTTGGTGCTGTCCATGTGTATTTCTTCAGTTGTGAAGCACACAACTAAGACTACGCTTCCCCCCACCGCTCTAGCAGCCAGCCACACTTCCAAGTCGCGGCTGCATTACTAATACATTACAGCAACAAAACCATTCCCTCATTAAAAGCCTGATCAAACCCTGATTAAAAGAAATATCCTGAGCACATGCCATTTTGCCTTTTAAACTTACTTAAAGCATGGCGGCATTCTGTCTGCAGAAATAGAACAGCGTCTGTTTCTGCCACGCTCTGCATGGTCATTTGTCCCCACCTCCCCATGGGCTGGTGGCCATGAACATCTGCCTTCAGCTGCACCACTGCCTGTGTGTAAAGTTAATGTGTAGTCAGAAGTCTGATTGTGAGACTCCAGCCTAGGACTCCCCTGGGCATTGCCTTCTTCCACTGTTAATTGCATGCGCTTCATTATGGCACATCAGACTACGCAAAGCTCCTGCAAATATACATTCACATGCTTCTTCAGTCAAAAAGGAAAGCGCGTGACTGAGAATCAGGCAGTCCAAAGGACCCTAAACTATGAAAATGAGGGTTGGGAAATGCTGGGACTTTTAGGACTGTTTTCTGTCTAAAAGATATGAGGGTTCTTTAAAAAGTTTCCACACTTTTAAAACTCTATTTATTAAGAATTTCAAAAACAAATTACAGCCCTTTTCTACCCAGAAATGCAATGCATTTTTCCCAGTGTCATACAAACTTTTTAATGCCATCAGCAAAAAGTATGCTAAATATATTTATAAAATATAAAAGTGTGGAAACTTTTTGAAGACCCCTCTTATTGAACCAGTCCTCCTCTTTTTGAAATACCTCTTGTGGTTACCATTGGATGAGCTAAAGGAGGATACGGCCCCAGGATTACTTAAACATGATGAAAAGAATGATAGAGGTCTTTTTAAAAGGTGTTTTGAGCTGGGAAAGAATTTTGGGTGGGCAGAATTTGGAAAACTGTCATTTCTGGGCAGCTGTGGCAGCCATGGATTTGTTTTAATCACACATTTCCTACTCTGAAAAAAGCTGACATTTTTCAGTGGGAGGTGCCAATTCAATGCCAAACTAGACTATGTCCCAGCAGCTTTCTCACTGCAGGTTTGCAACAGCAAGCACATTTTTGAACTTTGAAGGCTGGGTGGTAATGGGCCCATCTAGAACAGAAAACGCCCCCACAGAAAATTAACCTCTGCAGTTTCTCTGCTCTTATGCATTCCCCCACCCACTGCAAGGACATTTCCCCCCACCCACTGCAAGGACTATAGCAGCCTTCCTCAGTTTGGCATCCTCCAGATGTGTTGGAGTGCAACTCCCATCATTCCAATTAAGCTGAGAATCATAGTTGTAGTCTGACACATGTGAAAGGTGCCAGGTTGGAGAAGGCTGGGTTACAAATACACATGTTGGTACAGGCCCTGCATTTCTAAACAAGTTTTTGGTTGTCTGAACAAGTCACGGACTGGTGCCACAAGAGGGTGGTGCATTCATTGGTCCCGCCCATGCGCTAGCCCTGAACAAGACTTGCTGACCACGTGATCATGTGCATTTCTTTTCTGCCCTTGATTTTCAGAGGAATATCTCAGAGAAACCAACTCAGGCAAATTAGTATATATTCTTCTCATTCTCAAGAGTGTGTTGTATGGGGCATTTGTGATGGGGTTGACGCTCAAAGTAAAGGTAATGTACCATGTTAATTCTCCATATTCTGGATGGACTGATTTCTTATGAAAATACAATGTATTCATAATTCAGCCACGAATCAAATCTACTCTTCCTCCCTTAAATGGCATTTGTTAAGGCAATCTAGACCAAATGATGGAGATCCATGACCCCATCACTTTACGTCTTGCAGAGGTAAAAGAAGGAGAGGAATCATAGGGAGGCCTAATCCAGCTGGGGATTAGGAAGCTGAGGGAAGGTACTTTAAACTGAACCACCTGCACAAGTAAAGTTCCCTTAAGAGGGCAGGTTTGAGAAAACAGCCATCTCTGTGTTCCACCAACTTCTTTTAAATTTACAGAGCAAGTGCATCCTTGGGATCTTTAACAGTTGTTAATGGGTCCTCCTAAGTATACACTTTAGCTTTGCAGATATGGCCAGACCAGCAGCATTCAGTGTAAAAGTCCAAGCCTCCAGCAATCACCATATGGTGCACCAGAAGGGAATTGTTCTACCTTCTGCTCCTCTCCAATGTACCTGTACGGGTCAAGCAGCCCCAGGGAAGAAAATAAGAAAGTCCTGTTGAACTGGAGAGACCTGAAAGAATTCTTAAGGATGATCTGTACACAGTTCCACATACTCTGCTCTAATTTCTTTGATGAAGAACTGAAATAGAAATGTGACAAGCAAATTGCAAATTATTTTAGAACAAGCATTTCACCTGAACCCCGCAAAAAGAAACAGGGCCTCTGCACCTTTAAGACCTGTGCAGGAGTGGAATTTCAGTTGATGATTTCCTCTTCTAGAAAGGGAGGCTCATCTTTTACATCCAACGACCCCAATGGGTGGCAAAGCTTGTCCCCATGCTATGACTAGCCCTGCCTGCCCATTTCTGCACATCAAGCTGCTTTTGGAGACAATCCTATGCATGTTTAAGCATAGGAATGCTGGAAATGGTAGGGTTTTTTTCTGTCTTAACATGTATCAGATGGCATCCATAAAGGTGCAAGAGTGCATTTTCTTTTTCTCAGTTGACAACTCTAATTCCAAAAATGTTTATTTATAAGGAAAAGGGCAAATCCATTACTGGGATGCATTAACAGAAGTATTATTTCCAAATCATGAGAAGTGTTAGTTCCTCTATAGACCACACTAGTCAGACCTCTTCTGGAATACTGTGCCCAGTTCTGGGCATCAAGATTCAGGAAAGGTACAGAAAAATTAGAAAGGGTCCAGAGGAGGGCAACAAACATGATCCAGGGTTTGGAAACACTGCCCTGTGAAGAGAGGCTGAGAGAACTGGGCATGTTCAGCCTTGGGAAGAGAAGACTGGGGGGGATGGGGGGACAACATGATATCACTTTTTAAGTACCTGAAAAGCTGTCACAAAGAGGAAAGTCAAGATTTCTTCTCACTCTCATCAGAGTGTAGGACATGGAATAATCAACTCAAGTTGTGACAAACCAGATTCAGGCTAGAGGTCAGGAAAAGCTTCCTCACTGTCAGAGCAATATGACAGTGGAACCACTAGAGAGGTGGTGGGCTCTCTCACACTAGAGATATTCAAGAAGAAACTGGGCAGCCATCTGAGTGGGATGGTGTCAATTGGTGCCCTGCAACAGCAGGGGGTTGTACCAGATGTCCTTCATGGCCCCTTCCAACTCTGCTATTCTATGATTCTATAAAAAGTAGTAATTTTTGTCAAATGTGCCTAATAAATGATTTCCCCATTTTTGTCTCCTGCTTTGCCACTGGGAAGATTCGGGAGGAGTTGTTTTATATTGATTAAACTCAATTTGTGCAAAGGCTTGTGAGAGTTACATCCACTAAAGCAAGAAATATCTGCTTCTACCTGGTTTCAGGGGGTGATCAGTATTAGCGTGACTTCTGCCTGTGAAATAGGGCAGGGCTCTTGCTTTGCCATTCAGGATTGTCAGTAAGGAGCAAGTTCAGCAGAAGCTTGTCCCTACAGAACAAGCCATTCCTGCCCAGGTTTTTCCCACTTTTCAGTTACTAAGCACAGGAAGCCTTCAGTCTTCCTTTGTATCTGGTCCCCTGAATTAGAAAGCTGCCCTTATGGGGAACTTAAATCTTTAATAGACCTGTGCTAAGGTTAGACATTTAGCCTGCATTTCACTGGTGTTCTTTTTATTGTCCCAGGACAGCTGATGCTGTAGAGCTTTATACCTGAGAATATCTCACCTGATTTGAAAGGATCCCAGGAAGAAAGAAAAAGGAAGATACCTCCTTGAAGTGAAAATAGTTGGGCTGAGTCAGTAATATCTTCCTGAGATTAACTCCTGTATTTTAGTAAAAGCGCTGAGCACCATAGAAAGCTTTCCTGTGTTTCTTTTTCATTCTATCATATTTACTTGGAAGTAGGTATGCTTAGGATTTACACACTTTCAATGCAATCCAGCATGTGACGCTCAGAAGTGAGCTCCTGAGAGTTCAATGGGGCTTGCTCCCTGATTGGAAGGTACTGAGTTGCAAATTTAAAGGATGATTGAATAATTTTCAAAGAGAAAGATGTGCAACGCACACCTACACAAGTGTGCTTGGTATGTCCTACTGAACTCAGGGAGATTTGCTTTCAGGTAGTGTGCAAAGTATTGCAGCCCTACAAATGTGTTTAATTATTCCATAATCATAACCAATGAATTTGGAATTGCTTAATGTTGACTGTTGTGCTCTATAATCTTGCTTTGATTCTCTGCGAAGATATCTGTTAAATAAAGTCACAAAGTTTTCTGAATTTCCTGTGTTTCTTTTTATACGTTACGGGGTGGTATGGAATAGTTCAAATCCAGCCAGGCAGTATACCAAGCTTTTATGGGATAAATGCCTTTTTGCAGAAAGAGGATGAGGGTTTTCCTGTTGCCTACAGAAAGGACCACTGATAGTTCAAAATGAGTAAAATCATTCTTAAGTAAAGACATGTCTGGCGTAATAAAACCAAGGCTGTACAGTGACTAGGTGGAAGTTAATATTGTGGGATTTTGCAGGGCTTTCATTCATAGAGTTGCCATAAGTCAGGGATGACTGGATGGAACATCATGACAGCTCTCTATACATTACAATTGTGTAAGTGTAAGACACTCTCACCCCTGAATTCTTTCTTCTGCTCAGCTATTTAGGGCATTAACTCTTTGCTTCTATTTTTATTATATATTTTTTTTGTATTTGCATCCTGCAAGTACTTAGAGCATTAAAGCAGTCATTAAAAATACAAAATCTAACTAGCCAAAGCAACAAGTTAACTTGCACCAAACCCAATCATAATGTAGCAAACCATGCACCTTCTAAAGAAGTAATATCTTGGTGGTGATGGGACTTGGTGTTTATACCTCACCTATCTCTAGTGATTGGGACTCAAGGCAGCTCTCAATATTATTCAGTTAAAATATTCAAAAACTATACAAAGGTTAAGCATGTAATTAAATCAGTTAAATACTAAATCTGAACAACTACCTAGATTTAAAGCACGACAAACAATATAAAGAGTAAAACTAATGTAGTGCAAACTAACAGGTCCACACAGTTCCCAAATGTGCCTGCAGGAACAAGAAGAGTTTTACCGAGTTTCAGAAACCTAACAGGGAAGGTGCCAAGGGGATTCCAGAGCCTTGGAGTAGCCACTGAGAAGGCCCTCTCCTACATTCCTACCAAGTATGCCCATGAGGGTGGTGGGGCCAAGAGAAGCGTCTCCCTAGAAGATCTTGGAGCCTGGGCAGGCTCATACAGGAAAATATGGGTGTTTGGATAGCCCAGATCCAAGCTGGATAGGCCATCACTGCACTTTGAACAGAGCCTGGAAACAGACCGGGGACCAGTGAGATTGTTTCAGTAGAGGAATTGCCTGCCCCCCGTCGCCAGCCCCAAGAGGTCACCTAGCAGCAGTTCTCTGGACCAGCTGGAGCTTCTGAACACTTTTCAGAGGTAGCCCTACGTAGCATGCATTACATGAGATGTAACCAAAGCATATGGCACCATGGCTAATCAGACATGGTTGGTCAAACTCCTGAGACTTGCAAACCCAGCACAAGAAGGTGTTCCCGATAGGAGGAGGCCACCACGAAGAAGACCCAACAACTAACCATTCTAATTTGCCAGAAATGAGTAGGGCTCAAGAAAGACCTCCTCTATTCTTAATACATATGAGAGAACATACATGAGGAAAATCCTTCAGATGCTTGGACTTTAAAAAAAAATACTAATTTAATTAGGGGTTTTGTTTTGTTTTTTGTACATGTTCACAGTAAAATTGCCATCGATTACAAAGATAATTCTCAAACCAAAGGTATTCATTAGACAGATATGAATGAAGTATGAGAGTCCATCTGGTAGTTAAGAGTCAGTTTCATGGTCTTCTTTCTTCTGGTTATGTAGAGCTATAACCAAAAGCATCTTTACACAGTTTGCTGTAAGTAGTTAGAGGGTTCCTTGTCCTGTTTATGCCAGGCAGCTTAGAGCCTGGCTCTGCTTGCATTTGGTCGCTCTGCTACTGTGCCATATACTTGCATGCATGTCCAGTCAGATACTAGACAGAAGCATCAATTCTGCAAATTTACCAGTGTTTGCCATTTGATGATGCATGATCAAAAAGTGTCTTTTGATCATCATGGAGGAAGCTGATGCCAGATCAAAGCCACCCCTTTTCCAGTAACTCCAATGAGATCTAGGCTGAGGAGCTGTATTTTTGAGCTAGCCTGCAATACCATTTAGCCTTTCTCTCTGTTTGCAGAGGACAAAGAATAGTGATGTGCTTTAACTGCATTTGCTGACTTGGACGCCATAGTCAACGCCTGCCAAAAGAATGGTCAGTGGCCATGAGTCCAAGGCACCCAGCTTCTGAGGACACATGCTGCATTCAGGATAAGGATTTCCATTTGGAATTTCACTCTGAACATTGGCCTGAGGGAAAATCTGCCAAGACTTGTACTTTGCAAATTTCGTAAGTAAACTCAAGGGAATAAAGTCGCACTACCAGAACAGCAAATTTCAAAACTCTGAAGGATTGATCAGCTGCACAGACATCACCAGAGACAAGGACCTTTCAGGAGGACCTGCTGAACATGCTAGATCACACCACTAGCTGATTCCAACACCCTGCCTTTGAGAAAAGGAGCAAGGAGTGCTTTCTGAGCACAACAGGATGTGGCTTGACATTTGCTTGCACAACGGTTTCTCTTGAGCAGTGGTTGCAACAACACGTGCTTCATTCTGGTGGAGAGCTGAGATGATCCGTCGCCCTTCTTGCTATGGTTAGAAATAGCAGCATATGTACGTGGCTCACCTCCTCTAGTGGTTTCAGTGCCGGGTACAATCAAACAATCTTTAGTCTCAACCAAACCCTTTGCCTGATGTTGCAGGTGCACCGGTTGTGGCCAACACCTCACATCTCAAATGGAAAGTTTGTGGGTATTTTTGTCTGTCATTCTTGACCTGTTTATCAAAACAGAGTGGAATGAGGACATTTTGGGTTTCTTTCTCCCTTGCTTCATATTGCTGCTACAAAAATGCCCTTTACTACTCTAATCTCAATGATATACGACTTTCTGTTTATACTTTTGAGAAGGTTGTTCTATAGTTGACAAGGCTCTTCTTATGAAAAGTATGCCTTGATCAGGCAGTCTGCTTGAATTTCTTTTTTATTTTTTATTGGGCCTGAAAAGCAGTAGGCCGCATGCTCTCTGGTGCACTGTTTTGACTGCTGCTTGCAGGTTTAGCTAAAACTTAGAGACAACCCCATGCATGGAAATGACGCACACATACATGCAGTCATCCCATTTTATATCTTCCAAGAACCCCATATATGTATATAGGTTATCCCCATTTTAAATGGCCGGACATTCCTGTGAAGGTTAGGCAGAAGGAGAAGGACAGCCAACATCATCTTGTGAGCTCTATATAAGCAAGCAGGGATTTAAACAGGGGCTGTCCCGGGCTGTGGCCAACAAGCTGTGCACTACACCAGATGCTTCTAGGTGTTTTGCTTCTATTCCCAGAAGTCCCTGTCAGTGTGGCCAGTGGTTGGGAATTCTGGGAGCTAACACCCCAAACATTTTCTGCACTACACCACCAGGGCTCCCTTGCTTAACCTTGACCTTTGATGGAGCAAGGTTGTCTTCTGCACTCAGTGTCGAAACCTACACAAGCAACGTGTACACCTTTAAATCAGGCTTGGGCAATGAATGCCCATGGGCAGCATGGAGCCCCCAGACACCAAGGTGCTCCCACCACTTTTTAAAAAATGGACGCTTTATTCAGCAGCTGAGATTGCTGTGAAATCTTTTTGTTTGAACTGAAAACTGTGGGTTCAGATCCCACCTCTGCCTTGTGCTTACTCTTTTGAGCAGTTTATTATTATTTTACTTTTCTATACCACCCGCAGCCAAAGCTCTTCAGGTGATTCACAACATTTCTCGTCTCCCATCCAGGGTTCAACCAGGCCCAACCCTGCTTAGCTTCCACGAATAGGCAGGATCAGGTACTTCAGGCTATACAGTAGCTACAGAAAAGCTCTAGAAAGCTTACCTGCCCTTTCTATGCCTCCCAAAGCAACAATTTTGGGGCAGGGCCCAGGCCAGTTTTGCAAATTACCAAATGTGCCCATAGCATAGAAAGGTAGCCTATCTGTGCTTTAGACATAAGCCAGCCAAAGTTTAATGTGTGCATATTCTGGAGGTAACACTGGGAGGACATGGAGTAGATACTTCACACCCCCACCGCAACCCAACGGTTGGGTTATTATGCCCATTGGCTTCACTGCATGTGTTTGGCTCTTTTTTGCTGTGGTGTCATCTGGCACACTGCTCCGGTGAAGCGACCCTAGCTGTGATTGTTTATGAGCAGGAACACTCAGCAGTACAGCTAAGGAAACGTCTGACAGAGACAAAGCCCTTTCAGCTTCAGCATCCTGGCCGAGCATGCCCTCTTCCAGAGACATACGGTGGTGCCTCGGCTCACGAATGCCTTGGTTCACAACCAAATCGGGTCACGTACTAAAATTTCATGAAAATTTTGACTTGGGTCGCGAACTCCACATTGGGTGGCAACCAAGATCGCAGCCATCTCCCCACCCCCAAGTAGGGAGATGGCCGTGATCGCAGTTGCATTCGTGCAGGGAAGACATGCGTGATCACAGGCACGCTCCTGAGGGAAAGACAGGTGCAATCTCGGCCATCTCCCCGCACCCCAACCAGCATGATCATGGCCATCTCCCCACCCCACCGAGGGGGGAGATGGCCACGATTGCAGTTGCATTTGTGCAGGAAAGACATAGAGGAGCTGACGGCAGAAGAACTTGCTGAACTCCAGACTGAGCAGCAGAAGGCACTTGCTGAGGAGGATTCCACTGAGGAAGAGGAAGACTGGGAGGAGGTTAGCAGTGATGTGATACAATCCATTATGAAAAAATGGAATGAGTGCAGGATTTCTTTGAGAAGCACCAACCCAGCATAACTGTAACAAACAGAGTGTTGAATCTGATGAACAATAACGTGGTCTCTCATTTCCGGAGGGTTATGCAGATCAGGAAAAAACAAGTGACTATAGACAGATATTTCAACAAAATTTACCCTGCAGCTAAGAGACAAAGAAGAGAGAAAACCTCTGAAAGAGATCTCCCCAGTGTCCTTATGGAGGGAGACCCTCCCTCAAAACAATAACCTCCCTCCCCACCTAGGTTAGGGTTCTCCACTGTACCATACAGTACTTTGTTACTTTGTTG